TCTTGTTTAAATAGATAAAAGCATCAGCAGGTCAAATACTTCACATGCAACTTTTTATCAAAGACAATATGTGAAGTAAAGTTAAAGAATTCAGCTTTAAGACATTTAACGAGTGACTACTTTAACTATTTCACAGAGACATTTTAATTTGATGAATCTTACTAATGTGATGCAGGAGGAGCATGTGGACATACGTTCCTGTAATCTCTAATATTTATTTAATTAAAGAAATGACTGTAGGAAACACTGCTTAGAGCTGCACGTTTATTGATGCATAAAAAGATAAAACATTACAAAATGTATTAAACACAAACAGGTGAAGATAAAATACAAACAGCACCTGTTAAAACTCTTAAAAAGACAAAGATAAACTTAAATGTAGGAGAAATATGTTGTTCAATAACTATTAAATGTGTAATAAATGCTAAAAGCTTTTTTTAAAATCAGAAATAAAAGAAACAATTACTTCATGTTGATTAATATCCCAAACGTACTGAAGCTCAATGACGTCAAACAGCTTTTTCTGCTTTTCAAACAAGCCTCCATTCAAAAAGGTTTAAAAACAAAGTGACTGAGGAGATTAAATTGTATGTACAGTAAACACTAAAAACCAACATTTGAATAAGTATATATGTAATAATCTACTATTTTAAAGACATTTTTCCTTTAAATCATCTTTTTGTGGGTTAACTAAAAAATACTGTCTCATATCAGGAAAGAAGAAGTTGACACAATAATTACTCAGAAAGACAAAGATGTGGTTTTTCATGTCGTCATCCGTTCCCCTGGTTCTGTCCATGCAAATGTTTTTATCCATCTGAAAAAAGAGATTAAAGGTTATTTAAGAGTAACAGGTATAAGTGTTGTGTTTGACCTTTGCTGACTGCTGGTAGTAATACACAAGTACACTCAGATTGTACTACATGGTGTGTTGTACCTGAAGTACCTGCAGCTGTTTCCATCCTCACATTTTCGTAAACGCTCTCCTCTGGTTCATCATTCGTCCCTGTTAGAAGGATCAGATGAATGCATGAAGAGACACTTTATTCTCCTTTATTAAAGCTCTGCTGGCCTACAAAAGCATCTCAACTACTGCAGCTTGTTCCCTTATAGAAGTATTCACATCAACCATCAATGTCTTTAAGCTCAAACACAGAATCTGTGACATCATCGATACACTTTGTCTTTAATTTAAAGGTCAACCAGTCACTTGATCATCTGATTCTAGTATTTTAACAGCTGTGTGATGAACACACAGGATTTACTGCACCATGTTCAGGTTCTTCAGAGCCTCCGATTGCTTCATAGAGACAAGAATCACCTGCAGAGCAGTGAGGATAAAGACGAGGTCGTATCAATCATTTGAACCACTTTGTATCAATTATAGAATCTTCTCAAACAGATAACCAGAAATGGAAATGTTAGCATTAAAGTTAAGAACACATTATTAAATAAATCAGGATTAAAGCTGACCATGAAGAAGAGAAGCGTAATGTCCGTCTTTAGTTTCACCCTGGTTGATCATGTGGTCTGTAGCTGGGCTCTGATTGGTCCTCTGAGACCTTGTGGGTCCAAAACATGAAGTAAATACAGAGGATTTAATGAGGAACATGTAAAGTCCTGCTGCCATGTTCAGAGTGAGAGAAGAGAGGCTTGTACCAACCTGCTGAGGCTTGAAGCTGCAAGAAAAAGGTTTCACATTGATCATTAATTAGTGTGTGTAATAATATCTGTGACTTTGACTTATTTCAGTGAAATCAGTCTGATATCAGAAGGAAAAGATCTCACCTTCTGACTTTCTGTAGCGACGCAGAAACAGCAGCAGGAGAATAATCAGTAAAACTCCAGAAACCAGACCAACAACCAACGGCACGAGAAACACAGAGCTTGATGCTGCTTCTTCATCTACACACAAGTACACACCAACCATGAAGAGATACACAAGTAACAATAATAATACAGTTTATTTATAACACACTCTTCATCAACAGATCTCAGAGTGTCACAGAGCCAGAAAAACATACTTAAAACAAAGTAAAACTAGTAAAAACACAGGTACTAATGTGTTGTAGTGCTAAACAAGTACTACAACACACACACTCAAATACACAAACATGAACCCTTGATCACACAACATTCACCTTTCACTGCTGGTCATGTTACATCTCTAATATTATGTGTTTTTACTGAACATGAACATCTTTAAAACTATCTTGTCTCACACAAACAAATAGTTTATCTTAAGATAACTTCTAATTCAGTGACACCTTTTCTCACTCAGACTGTAACACATGTTACAAAACTCGTACTCACATTTCACTGACAACCAGCTCTCTGCTGAGGTCAAAGTCTCCAAACCTTGAGGTGATTTCCTTCCTGTACATTTATAAAAGCCTTCATCTGACTTAGTAACTGCAGAGATAAGCAGCTCCCCTCTGACAGGATTTGGGATGAGTTTGTCATTTTTATAGAAATCCACATTATAAAGAAGGTTTTCTGTCCTCAACTTGCAGCCAAGAGTGACGGAATGTCCCTCAGTCACAGGACGGACAGGACTCACCAGGATGACATCACCACCTGTAAAGAGACCAGAGGACAGGAAGTCAAACAAGCTGATGAACAATGAGGAGAAGACATTTATAGTTTACATTTGTTATTCACATTCACACAGTAGCTGAGCGAATAGCTGCATTTCATGGATGGAAGAGACGGCCCTTTGGTGACGTACATGCTCACAGTTACATCTTTAATTAATGCTCAATATGTCGGGAGACAAATGTCCACTTAGTGGCAGTGAGCTACAGAATGGTCTAAAAGGTACAAAGTGAGCAGATAACTCTACAGCTCCTCCTGGTTTAAAGCCAATGGTGGATGTCAATGGTCATAAAGAGGAAAGTAAACCACAAAGACGTGTTGGAAAATACAGAGAAATGATACTGCAACAAACTAAGATTGTTGAATCGTTTGTTAAAATAAATATTGAGTTAAACTCATCATCAAGTCACCTTAAAAATGTCAGCACTCTGTAATCCATCCATCCATTGTCAAACCGCTTATCCTGCACACAGGGTTGCGGGGGGGCTGGAGTCCATCCCAGCCAACTTCGGGCGATAGACAGGGTACATCCTGGATTGGTCGCCAGCCAATCGCAGGGCCACACAGAGACACACAACCATTCACACTCACATTCACACATCTACGGGCAATTTAAAGTCCCCAATTAACCTGATCCCCAGAGCATGTCTTTGGACTGTGGGAGGAAGCCGGAGAACCCGGAGAGAACCCACGCAGACACGGGGAGAACATGCAGACTCCACACAGAAAGGCCACTGGGCGGAATCGAACCCAGGACCTTCTTGCTGTGAGGCAACAGTGCTAACCACCACGCCACCGTGCCGCCCAGCACTCTGTAATAAGATGTGTAAATACTTTAGATATAAAAACCTTTAAATGAATATAAACTCACTGTGTATAGTGATGTTGGCTGCATTGCTGAACTGTGTTTCAGACTCACACCAGTACACTCCACTACTCGCTCTAGTGTCGGTGTTGCATGTGGATCCATTTCTTTCTCCCCACTTAGGACAGAGTGACCTGTTGCCATCTTCATCAGCCTTCTTCCATCTCCACTCAGCAGAGTTTCCCTCACAGATCAGTGACAGTGACTCTGTGCTGAAGTGCTGCAGTCTGTGAGGACTCACTGTGAGAGACGCTGCTGGATTCACACCTGAAGACACATCATTAGGAGACACACACAGGACAAACAATGTCAACACAACAAGGACATTTATTCCCTTGTACAAGAATATAAAAGTCTGAACAAACTCACCTCCAGACCAGACAAACTTCACATCACTATACTTAGTGTTAAACACAGGATCTCCTCTTTCAGCTCTGCACTGATATCCTGCTGTGTGTGTCTGTCCATGAAGAATGTAGGAATCCTGTTCAGTCCCATTGGTGCCACCAGCTAGAAGCTCAAAGTTGTAGTAGGTGTTGGTGGATGACATGTCTGGAACAGCCTTATACCAGAAGAACCTCCATCCTGCAGACGGAGGTTCAACACTGCAGGTCAGAGTCACTGAGTCTCCAGGACTCGTCCATGATGGAGACACTGTGAGGACAGGACGAGGATCTGTTGGAAAGAGGTTTGACAGAATAAAGACGTGTTATGATGAGTCCTTGGTGGATTACTGTCACTGCTGATGTCCTCCATCTTTTTATCTGTCTTCATGTGTTAAACAGGTGTTTGGGTACAATGTCTTTAAACATAGTAACTAATCTCACATTTCAAATATTCTATTTCAGATTCTTTGTCCTTAAATCTGCACTTGTAAGAGCTCCCATCAGACATCAGAGAAATGGTGATTTCATGTGTGTGTTGATGGTTTGTGTCCATCTCAATAAGTGTTTTGTCTTTGTAGAAGTCAGCATTCTTCTCCTTTCTCTGGTCTCCATGTCGACAGTGAAGAGTCACTGATTCTCCTTCATACAAGGAGGACGCAGGAGTTAAAGGATCACATCTGTGTCTGTGGAACAGTTACTTCTTTGCTTTACTAAATCAGTTTCATTAAATGAACAATGATACAAGATATCAGTGATTTATGTTTCCTATATAATTTTAATTTAACATAAAGTTGCAGACAGAAGAAGATGTCAAAGTCAGTCTCCCTGTAATAAATAATAAAAGGTTCACTGAGTAATGAGAACATTTCACCTGAAGGAGGCACCACACTCTGCTGATGTGTTTGATCCATTTGTGTTATCAATAAATAATCAATAACTAATTCATCATTTTTCAATTGGGATAAAATATGGGATGGTTTGTCTTAACTCTGTCCGTCTTTCTTTTGTTTTATTTAATGATCAATATTATCTGATAATTGATCCTTTTAAACAAAGATCAACTAATTAAACACCATCAGTGTCAACATTAATTATCACTACATTATATTACATTAACACTTCATCAAACAGGTTTATTAAATCAACACGTCTCATTAATATAAAAGTGCTTTAATGAACTCGTCGTGATGGTAAAACTTTGATCACTTACCTGATACAGTTAGAGAGACTTTATTACTTTCTCTTGTAACAGGACGGATCTTGTGATCAGCAACACACTGATATTCACCACTATCTCCTCTAGTTAGAGATGATGATTTATATCTATTCACTGTTCTGTTGGTGGTAAAGAAATTATCATTACTACTGAATGAGTAATTCCAGTCAGTGTCGTTTCCTTCCCCTGAGTCACATATGAAGGAAACTTTCTCTCCAGTAAATAAAGGGGACCAGTTTGGCTCAATATGCAGCAAAGCATCTAGAAACAAACACAACATGCAAAGAATGAATCTTGTCTTCTTTCTTGTAATCATCATCAATTAACTTTTACTATTAACTATTGAATAGTGATAGAAGGTGTTGAATCGTCTTGAGTGAATGTATCAAAAGAAAGGAAGTTGTATACAAACCTTGAGCGTGTCCACAGTAGAGGAGAATATTCAGCGCTAAAATAAAGTGAGAAACATCATCAAACTGACAGAAACTATTAACTTCTGGCATTTAAAAAGTTGTATGTATGAAAACTATGATTTAAACAGAGAAAGTACTCACAGAAAAGCCCCAACGCACCAAACAAGGTGTGTCCCATCCTCACGTCCACGCTGACACTCAGCTTGTGAGAAACGCTTCCGCTTCGTGTCAAGAGACAGTTTGAAAGGTGTGAAACATGCAGAGAAATGTGGAAATGCAGAGACCACAGATGAACATCAGATGTGAGGTTTTCTCTAACTTCTGCTTCTGTTTATGATCCATTCTTTATTCTACAGCAGCACATTTTATTTTAAATATATCCAGCGACCCAGAGAAAGATGTTCCATCATTTCACAATGACTGATATAAAAACCCTGTGAGATAAAGAGAAGTGAATCACAGAAACTCGCTGAAACAGACCAAAATAAATAAATCCTTTTAATTAGACTTAAATGTAGTAAGAGAGACATTTTATTTGATCAATCATAAGGTTCCATTTATGCATCAAAGCTACATTCAAATCTAACAGCAAAACACAGCAGCAGGAGGATGTGGTGCATTCTGGGACGCCTCTTTCACCACAACTGAACTGCAGCCTGAGACGTGGAAATTATTGCGTTTTTTTGGAGTTGTTTATCTTTTTTGTATTTTGCAATAGAACAATAAAAACTGTAAATTAAAATATACATTTAGAGAAGGTATAAGTCGGCAGCAAAACCTTTAAAACACATAAAAAGAGGAAACAGTTAAGACTCTTTCACAATCCACTAATTTGCATAAGATGAAATGGAGATGAGAATTTCCACCAACTCTTTAGTTCCTCATCTGCAACAACATGTTGAGAGAAAGGAGAGAAAACAATTCAGCTTACTACATATCAACAAGGTATACATATATAACCAATCACACAGATAAATAGAAATACAATTATAAACCTTGTGACACTTAGTGTAGGATGATGTTACTACTTGAGGTGACACTTAATAAACTCCAGTGCAAGATGATAAACACATAAATGAATGAATGACCCAAAATCAAAAATTCATATATTAATTAATTAATATTAATCATGTTTGTTCTGGTAGTCGTGACATTGACATTTTATCAGACATTTGTGCTTTAGAGGAAACTCTGCAGTTCGAGCGTGAGAAGAAGAACCACAAGGCTTCTCAGAATAACCTTTATTGTTCCCCTTTACACATAAAAGACGTGTTGCTGTTGGTTGTGTGGTGAACACCTGACCACATTCATGCCAGGGCTCATCTGCTTCTACAGAGGTGTGATCTCTGTGATGTATGATAACATGTCTTAATTCTGAGAAGTAGAAATTTAATGAAGTTCCATAAAGAAATCATTTAATCTACTGCAGTGGACCTGTGCGTCAGCGCACGTGATGAAGCCCTGAGCAGATGGTTGTAGATCTTGGAGCTCGCTGCCAGGAAATGAAAAAAGGGTTTTTATAAGTTGAACCAGTCAGGGAGGACCACAGCTTTTTGATAATGTGTCTCCCGGATCACCTGGACATGGCGACCTGGGACAGAACCCGAGCAGGCCGAATCCCGGACTAAAGGAGGACTCGTAGGAGCCGATTAGAGTCTCTAGTTGGAGAAATAGACGCCTCACAGGTCCTCAACTGGCAGCTTCTTTAAATGGTACCTACATAACGCCAGTGTCCACGTCTACAGTGAGGAGACGACTCCGGGATGCTGGTCTTCTAGACAGAGTGGCAGAGAAGAAGCCACATCTGAGACAATAATAAAGAACAGATTGATACGGGCAAAAGAACATTATGTTACATTACATTACATGTCATTTAGCTGACGCTTTTGTCCAAAGCGACTTACAATAAGTGCATTCAACCATAAGGATACAAACTCAGAAGAGCAAGAAACAAGAAAGTACAATTTCCTCAAATAAGCCAATTAACAATTTGCTATAGATAAGTGGTGTTACAAGTATAATTTAAGTGCTACAATTTGTTAGTCTTTTAGTCGAGGTATAGTCTGAAGAGGTGTGTCTTTAGTTTGCGGCGGAAGATGTGAAGGCTCTTTGCGGTCCTGATGTCTTCAGAGAGCTCGTTCTGCCATTTAGGAGCAAGAAACACAGACATTTGATAGAGGACGTTTGAAAAAAAGTGTTTTGGACGGACGAATCAAAGTTTGAGGTGTTTGGATCACACAGAATAACATTTGTGAGACGCAGAAGAGGTGAAAAGATGCTGGAATGGTGCCTGACACCATCTGTCAAGCACTGTAAAAGGGATTTTAAATAAGGAAGGCTGTCACTCTATTTTGCAACGCCATGCAGTTTCCTCCTACAACAGTTCTATTTATTAATTATTTTATCATAATGTTATATACAATTCCCATCTTATTCAAACTGGTGACTGGAGGAATCATGTAACCTGCAGCGTAGTAATTGTAAAGATTTTTTAGATTCAGACAAAGACATTGATGTTTTACATCCATTTATGTCAAGTTTGGTCGATTTATGTCGAGTTTTTTAGATAAGACACACACACATATTTTTATATCTCCCCTAACGTTGTTTTTCTTCCACTTCTCCCTTTTGTTACATTACTTTAATCGAGTTGAAACAAATATTATCAAATGACTACAAATCCCATGATTCTCTCTCAAAAATGTCCCACACTTCCGGCTTCGCTTCCGCTATAAAGCTGAACTCCACCAACATCAAAGTGGCGCGCAGCAATCAACCAACCAATCGCACCTGACTCGTACTCATCGTTACCTTTCCCTGTCGGCTGATCCAGCGGAGAAGCGAATCAGAGAAAAATATCGATCACCTACATGAAAAAAAGTCCCTCGTTCGCGTGACGTCATCGTCTCCTCCTCGTTCTCATTGGTTCTCTCGCCAGCTTGAGAGTTTTCCCGCGCGTCCTCTGGCGTTAAACAGCGCACTGCCCTGTCGGCCGTTAGCGGCTGAAAGCTCTCGGATCCTCCGCAGTTTAACGTACACAAACAGCCCGTAACGGTGCTTTAGCGTCGGATAATGTCCTCCCAGAATTACGACTCGGCCTGTTTACCGGACTTGTTGCCGCTGTACTACCGACGGCTGTTCCCCTTCTCACAGTACTTCCGATGGCTGAACTATGGAGGAGGTGAGTGCTCATCAGACAGACGGGCCCCGCTAGCTAAAGTCATGTTAGCAGGTTAATAACCGCTGTGTTGCTATCTGCGGCTTAGCTAGCCGCACATTGACGTTGTGTTCTAAATATATGTCTTGTTTAACAGAGTCCTCTATTACTACTAACGTTAAGTATACTGGTATCCACACCGGGGCATTAATATATAAATATAACGTTATATATGCATAATGCTTTCTTTCAACCACAGTGCAGAAGAACTACTTTCAGAATCGAGAGTTCTCCTTCACCCTCAAAGATGACATCTATGTCCGCTACCAGTCGTTCAGCACGCAGACCGAGCTGGAGAAGGAGATGCAGAAGATGAACCCTTACAAGATTGACATCGGAGCCATTTACAGTCACCGGGTGAGACGCGCGTGCATCTGCTTCCACGTGCTTTCATTTAGTTTGTGTGTCAGCAGAGACGTATCGTGGATTGAAGCTGAATCTGTGTGTCACCCTCAGCCGAGTCAACACAACACGGTGAAGTCGGGGACCTTCCAGGCCCTGGAGAAGGAGCTGGTGTTTGATATCGACATGACCGATTATGATGACGTCAGAAGCTGCTGCAGGTGAATTGGGCACGCGGTTTATTTCGGCCAGTCGACTTATCCGGACAGTCGCATCCCTGAGCTGACATGAACTCCTTTGTCAGTGCTGCAGACATTTGCTGCAAGTGCTGGACCCTGATGACCATCGCCATCCGGATTCTAGATCGGGCTCTTCGAGGTTCGTTTGCCATCAATTTCGCGGCAAAGTATCTTTGATTTTCTGCTGAATGATACAACAGTTTTATTTTATTTTTTCATCATGTGGTATTCTAGATGACTTTGGTTTCCAGCAGCTGCTGTGGGTTTATTCTGGCAGAAGAGGAGTGCATTGCTGGGTGTGTGATGAAGGTGCCAGGAAGCTCTCTTCAGCAGCACGCTCCGCTGTGGCAGAATACCTCAGTCTGGTTAAGGTAACGTTACTTTTTTATAGGCGATGTCTTTATTCACACGTAATTCAGACTCATCAGATTGGGCTCATTTGCAGCCCAACAGACATGAAAAGAGTATTTTAACAACCATTGACTAGACTATTATTTGTTGTGTCTTTACAACATCGGTGAGTGTACTTTTTCATGTTTATTCTGTTCTCTTTTGTAGGGAGGTGACGACACGTTGAAGAAAGTTGTGCTCACAGATCCCATTCATCCGTTCATCAGGTAAGCGTTGGATCCTTTTCAGCGTGTCGGTCAGTTTTGAAGCTGTAACTCTTTTTGTTTCTAAATGTAACGACTCATCGAGGTTAAAGGTTTAGGAGTCTTGTGCTTGTGATCTCCACAGAGAGTCTTTGCTGTTGGTGGAGCGATACTTTTCCCGCTACGCACTGCTGGAACAGGACATACTGGGCCGGAAGGAATCTGTGGAAAAAGTGTTGTCACTCGTGCCTGAAGATATCCTTTATTTGCTAATGGCTGGAGAAAAATAAATACATTTACGCTCAAATGGGATTCTGTGATATGAGAATGGAGATTTTTTGTAAAAATGGATTTGACCTTAACTCCAGCTTTCACATGTGAGAAAAGAATTACAGCAGGTCTTCCAAAACGAGAAGAAACCAGAGACCCGTTGGAAACTGGTGAAGGATCATGCCATAAGGAAGCAGGTTTGTATTTCTGCCTCGTTCTTCAACCCTGAATTTGTTTTAAAATATTACTAGAAGGCTTGTAATGAACACGGGACCAAAATGATGAAATCTCTCTTCTCTCAGGGCACTTCCAAAAAGGGCCAACACTTTGAGAAAGAAATCATGCTGCAGTATTGTTACCCGCGGCTGGATGTGAACGTCAGTAAAGGGGTGAACCATTTGCTGAAGAGCCCCTTCAGCGTCCACCCCAAAACAGGTGAGCACGGATGTAATGAGATCAAACCCAGCTGGCGGGGCGACTACACCGCAGACGCTCTCACTGTCACTTCTCTCGTTTGAACCCTGGACAGGGCGCATTTCTGTTCCCATGGACCTCAAAGAATTAGAAACGTTTGATCCATTCGCTGTTCCCACCATCAGGTGAGCCCTGATTGAACGCTCTCTCGTGCTCTGCTGTCTGCCGGCGTTTGAGGTTCTGTCGGAGATGATGTTATTGCTTTAATTTGTTTTCAGTCAGATCTGCGAGGAGCTGGATCGACCGAGGTCGGGCGAAGAGGACGGGAAGTCAGAGGACGCCAAGGAGAAGGAAAACGAGAAGGAAGCAGCAGAGAGAAGAAGGATCAGAGGTGAGATTCTGAAATCTGAATTTGGAGCTCATAAAAGTTCATAAGAGATAATCTGTGAATAAAATATTCTGTCTCTAAATGAAGCAAACGTGGTGCATCGACTGACATGATGGAATGTGTATTCAGCTTTCTGTTACATGAAAAAATACTGTCGTTACTGAGCAAATGTGTTGCGTATCAAGTGCCTCTCTTCTAATAGAAAAGTAGAATAGGACAAATTCATGTTTTTGTTTCATTATAACAATTATTGTCAGCCTGAACCACCAATGAGAACACGGGGATCTTTCAGTTTATCCTAAATCTGAGCAGCTGACAGTTTCATATTGCTAAATTGTTTATTTTCTGGACAGATTACAAAAGGACGAGCCTGGCGAAGTATGTGAAGTACTTTGATCGGTTCCTCGATGGGATGGCTTGCTCGTGGAAAGGAGAACTTCTTAAAAAAAGTGGTCAGTGTTATTCGTCGTGGATTAAATGAGGGCGCAGCGACGTTTGAGAAGTCCTCTCGTGTAACTCCTTTTTTGTTTGTTTACCCTTTCAGATCTTCAGAAAGACTTCTGAACTGGATTAGCGATCAGGAAGAGATGCAGAGGATGAATTGTTAATAGCTCCCCACTTTTAAATTTCATTAAACTCTAATAATATGCCTACATTTTTAATGAATGCATTATCTCCTTGCTCAAGGATCTTCCTTGTATTAAATTGTTGTGATGGTGTTTGATTGTTCTTTTTATATTGTACAGCCATGTGTTGAAAATAAATTTGGTATTTCCACCTTTTCAAAATATTGTATTCAAGTGACTTTTAACAAGACAAAAACATTAGCAGATTAAGATATTATTTTCTAGAATATTAAGCAGTTTGGTTAGTTTGTTAATTTGACAAACCGTTTTTAAATGTACACTACATATCTCACTGATAAACAGCTGGGTGATGTTTATATTTTTCAGAAATTAGGGTTATAGTTCAGTGTTTTGGGAATTGATGAGATCCTTCTTACCCACAGTCAAACAAGTTTTGTTGAGGCATCAACTGCACATTGTTAGTAGCTGTCCTGTAAATACTAATCATGTTATTGATGTTGTACCACATTTTCCACTAATGAATGTATGTAGTATCCCTTTTATCGTTTCAGGCATAGATTTCCTCCAGTGTTGCATTGTTATAAATAAAATGGGCACATCTTCTATGATTGTATAATATGGTCACATACAAAACAGAAATATTGGGAAATGTAATGCTGGGTATAAACTAATATTTACCCAATATATAATTTAAATGCCCTACAGATGACCAGTTTGTGTGTTACGTTTTCTCACTTTTGTGTGTCTGCTTTTACTCAAACCAACTGTCAGCTGTTCCGACAGGTGACACTTGACAGACGTTCGTAGAAGTATAAAGCAGCATGAAATAAGCACGTTCAAATACTCAAAATGGATTGCAGTATGGTTGTATAGTAAATGCCGGTTATTTTTTAAAGAATCCCCCGTCTTATTACTACTATATTTGTATGTGCGCAGAATCGCTCCGTTACAAAGTAGACTGCGCGTGCCTTCTAAATGACCCGGAAGAAGAAGGTTCCAGTCCGAACCGGATATTACCGCGGAACGGAGGTCAGGAGCTCTCTCTCACAGCCATCTTGGATATAGCGTCCCGAGTCGGTGAGTGTCTCCTCCGATAATCCAACATCATCCAACCGTTTTCAGCAATTCCCGTCTGCATTAAACGTTTCACACGTTAGAGTAAAGTAGTGGCATCCGGCAGGTAGAGATATGTGTCCTCTTTCGTCCCTTGGCTCGCCGATATAAACCCTGATGTACCGCTGATAACCTGCTCAAAATGGGGTGGCGGCGGGGAGCATGATGACTTCCCGCACTGGCAGGCTGTTAAGGCCGCAGTGAGCCGTGGGACAATTGGTGTGAGGATTGATCGTGCGACAATTTTTAATCTGGATAAACTGGAACGGTAATCCGTGTTAGTCGTCGTTAGCTTCCACGCCCGTTAAGGGTGTCTGAAGCGGGTTAGCTAGCCGAAGCTAACGTTAGCCGAACGTTGCTTCAACAGGGAGCTAACGTATAAGCATGGGTTCAGTCACCTGTTCAACATGCCAAGTCCCGACTGAATGGGCTAACACTCCCCTGCTAACGTCCGTTCACCGGTGTCACAGGAGTAATCTCGCCTACTTTTGCAACGTTAGCTAATGAAGGTGTAGCTATCTTGAGCTAATAAACAATTGTTTCGTCATCAGCAACAATGCCCGGCGAAGCAACAGAAACGGTCCCGGTCATCGAGCAGGAGATGCAGCAGCCTCAAGTGGAGACCGGTTCGTATATATTTCTGCTTTAACGTGCATGCAACATGCAAATGAAACCACGGGTCCTGGAACTCAAAGAACGGGGGGAAATGTTCAACAAATGGCCTACCAAGGAAGGTTATTGAGTATGGAAAATATTGCTCGAGTGGACTTTTTTGTGTTCATGGCGTAGACTCTGCTGGCTGGACACTGAGCTGACGCAACAGGTGACGGTTATTTTGACTGTCGCCAGCCATTTGTTGAGATATGTCTACCAGTAGTATTTCCCCACTAAGGGATCGGCAGTGCTGGTAAGGTTTGCCTTAACCTCAAAAGAGTAATCCAGGACCCTACTTTTTATTTACACAAACTCACAATGGCGTGTAGTGACTTGCACTGACAACTGGATTTAGCACACAATGCATGGTGTTGTTTTCCCTGTGCATAGAAATGCCTTCAACCCATTTGTAATAGATTAGAACATGCCCATCTCCTATAAAGTATTCAAAGAACGTCAATGCATTTTTACATTTTTTTTTTTTACTTTTAAATGTTTTCAAGTAAATTTTAATATTTAGGCTGACACTGAGACTTTAATAAATGCAGACGTCTTTTGAAAATCATCAGTTGGAATATTATAAATGGTTCTTGTGTAACCAAAATTAACTGGTATTTCTAAAAATGATCAATGGATTTGCCCATGTTCCTGTTGATGGCTGATCCTGGGTGCTTTTGAATTTCAAGTTGGGTCGGTAGAGGAAAAAAAATAAAGTTTCAAAAAACCCTTAAACCTGTTCAAAAAAGATAAATCTTGTGCTGGTATTGGGAACTTTGTGGACTTCAAAGCACGTTGTTAGGAAATACAGGCTCCATAGCAACACGACTGCAGTGCTGTTCAGATGACCTCAATGATAGGGAAATACTGATACAGCATAAATTTAGGGCTGCATTGTTTCTTGCTATCACAATTTTTGTTTTTAAATGAGCCCAACCACCTGCAATGTTGACGTTGGCACCCCTGACTGAGCTTCTCTGCGCACCTCGTCTGGACCTTGTTGCGACCTGGGGGCTGTCGGGTTGTGCCTGCTAAGCCTGTGGGAAGAAATGGTGCCCCCGGAGTGACAGTCAAAAACCATTACAGCATATTTTTAGAACACTAAATGCCAACAATGATCTTTCATTCTAGAATATACGGCCTTTTTAAATAGTTTTTAAAGATTTGGGGTGTTGCGTCTTGGCTCCATAGACTTTGCTTTGGAGTATTACAATACACGCGCTGTTCTGCCATATCAAATTAAGGCTTTGGTAAAATTAAGATTTTTTTCACACAACGTTGTGCCTAGATCACTTGGTGTTTATCTCACATGGACACTGCATGTGGGTTTTGGAAGCGGGCTTACTTCTTTCTTCACTGCATCTAGCACCCTTTTTAAACTTTGGTAAAGCGAGAGCTGGTAACACATTTTAACCTTCACAAACTCAGCGTTTCTGTCCACACGTGGAGCACAATTTCTTTCTCACTTCACATAGTATCCCTGAAGCTCTTAAAGCTTGCACAAAATTAGATGTGCTCCCCAACAATTACTCTGATTGCCCTTCCCCTGTTACTCCTGTTACTTTTCCTTAATCAGCTGGAGTATTCAATTCTTCTGCTCCTCCTGAGATGGCCATTCCTGTGAGCAAAGCTATCCCACTGGAGATTCCTCCAGAAACCTCTGTTCCTGCTGAAGCGATGGGTTCCCCAAAAGATGCTAGCATTCAGAGTACTGATGATCAAGCAAATGGTGTTGCTGCAACTCAAGAAAAGGCAGAGTGTACCAAAGAGACCAGATTGGCGTCCACACTTGAGCCACAACAGAAGACTGCTGAACAAGCCGGGTCTTCAGCTAACCCACCAGGTCCTGAAGAGGCTCCGCCTTCTGCTAAGATGCCTGTTGTCTCCGTAGAAGGGCCAAATGCTGCAGGTTCAACTGTAGAGGTACAAGGTCAGGAGCCAGTTGTTGTTGTTGCTTCTGCTGAAGAGTCGGCCGGCCAAGAGGTGGAGCAGATTTTGGTTGAAGCAAATGTCCATGAGGCCAGTGCAGTGGCAGCAGGAATTCTCGATGATCCAAAAGCAATCCCTACTGAAGTCCTTGCCAACACCAAAGACGTGAAGGCAACTGAGGCCCCAGTGACTGAGGTAGAAGAGTCGAGGAATGTGTTTGTGGATGCAGCTGAAGATAAAGTGTTACCCATTCAAATGAATGTCAATTTGACCACTGAAAATGAAGATCTTGCTAAGAAAGAAGCTGTAACGCTTCTCCCCAAGGCTGTTCAGTCAAAGGAGTCCTCCAAACGTGAAGGACCCCCTCATTCCACTTGCCACCTGTCAGGTTGGTCTGTCCAGTTAAGAAAGCACTCCCCTCCCTACCTTCATAATTGAGCGTTTTTTGATTTGGTTAGGATTTTTTTTTTTACTGCGGCTTTACATGAGCGATAACAGTTCAATGGACAAAGGTTTATAATGTCTTTTTCCTGCCATGGTTGTCTCCCATCTCTTTTTAGATAAGTGCATTTTAGTCTTTTTTTGTTTCCCTTTGGTGGTCAGTCAGTCCTACCTTGAAGCATCAGTTTTGTGTGTGTATCATGTTAAATGTGATATGCACTGAAAATAGGATTGTCCCTTGTCTTGCATTGCATCGTGACTAAATACAGTGAGTTTCTTCTTGGAAACAAATGGCATCAATGGTGTATTTTGATTGCGGTTTTGCATCAAACTCTAAAGTTGGACAGGTGTTTTCCTAACCCTAAGCAAGGAGATTGCGTCTTGGTTTGCTATCATTTAACCCGCATGAGTAAGATCTCAGTTTTTCCTGTCAGTAAATTTAAAGATTTGATTTTTCTATTCAGCTACTCCTCCTGCCGCAGGGTCCTCCCAGAAACCTCAGGCAGCTTCTGGCCCTGCAAAGCCCAAAGGCAAAGATGCCAAGAGTGCGCAGGGTTTTTCTGCCCCGAAGGCTGTACCTGGCAGAAGGAAACGCTCCTCTATGTCTGCCTCTTCCTCCTCCCCCACCTCACCAAAATCCACTTCGTCCACCACCCCCCTTTCAGCTGTGCCATCTCCCCTAGCTACCTCACCTGGAAGCTCTTCTACTAATCAGGCAAAACGTTTCACCCCAAAAATTGTCAAGGCGGGCAAACAAGGAAAAGCTAAGAAAGGAGAAGCATTTGTGTCCGTTCCGTCCCCTGTGGCGTGTAAGGAGACCCCAGCAATCGAAAAAACGGTGGAGGTGATGCAGTTTGCAGCCACAGCTGCTTGTAAAGTTACCTCAAAGCCTGCAGTGGCCACTCCATTTTTAGATACTCTTGCATCTAGCCCCCCCACACCAGTTGAGTTTAAGACCGCTCCATCAAAATCTGGCACTGTAATTGTTGCTGCTGATGATGACCTCCCTCCACTTATCGCACCGGAGAAGCCAGAACCTGCACCCCCCGTAGAAGCTACAAAGGTTGTTAAACCAGCTCATAAGGGATCCCCGGCCCAAATCAAAGCTGTTAAAGAGGTCCCATCAAGCAAAAACTCTAGTGTTGAGGCTTCTGATTCAACTGCTGTAGCTAAACCAGCCACAGAGGCTAAACCTGCTCCCCTCGATGCAGCTAAACCAGCCCCTGCTAAGGGCGTTAAACCAGCCACAGAGGCTAAACCTGCTCCTGTCAAGGCTGCTAAACCAGCCACAGAGGCTAAACCTGCTCCCCTCGATGCAGCTAAACCAGCTCCTGTCAAGGCTGCTAAACCAGCCACAGAGGCTAAACCTGCTCCCCTCGATGCAGCTAAACCAGCCCCTGCTAAGGCCCCTAAACCAGCCGCAGAGGCTAAGCCTGCTCCTGTCAAGGCTGCTAAACCAGCCACAGAGACTAAACCTGCTCCCCTCGATTCAGCTAAACCAGCCACAGAGGCTAAACCAGCCCCTGCTAAGGCCCCTAAACCAGCCGCAGAGGCTAAACCTGCTCCCGTCAAGGCCGCTAAACATCCCCTTGATGCAGATAAGCCGTCCACAGAGGCTAAACCTGCACCCGTTGATGCAGCTAAACCAGCCGCAGAGTCTAAACCAGCCCCTGCTAAGGCTCCTAAACCAGCCGCAGAGGCTAAACCAGCCCCTGCTAAGGCTCCTAAAGCAGAGGCTAAATCAGCTCCCTTCGATGCAGCTAAACCAGCCCCTGTTGATGTAGCTAAACCGGCCCCTGTTAAGGCTAGTAAACCAACCACAGAGGCTAAACCCACCCCCATTAACGCTAGTAAATCAGCCGCAGAGGCTAAGCCTGCTCCCGTCGATGTGGCTAAACCAGCCACAGAGCCTAAACCAGCCTCTGCTAAGGCTAGTAAGCCAGCTGCAGAGGCTAAACCTGCTCCCATCAAGGCTGCCAAACCTGCGGCAGAGGCTATACCCGCTCCTGACGATGCAGCTAAACCAGCCGCAGAGGCTAAACCTGCACCCGTCAAGGCCCCTAAACCAGCGACTGTGGCTAAACCAGCTCCTGTCGATGCACCTAAACCTGCTCCCGCTAAGGCTAATAAGCCAGCCGCAGAGGCTAAACCCGCTCCTGTTAAAGCTGCTAAACCAGCCACAGATGCTAAACCAGCCCCTGTTAAGGCTAGTAAACCAGCCACGGAGGCTAAACCCGCTCCTGTCGAGGTTGCTAAACCCGCTCCTGTTGAGGCTGCTAAACCAGCCGCACAGTCTAAAACCACTCCTGTCGAGGTGGCAAAACCAGTGACCGAGGCTAAAACAGTCCCTGTCAAAGCTTCAAACCCAGCCGCAGAGGCTAAACCTGCCCCTGTTGAGACTGCTAAGCTGGGCCCTGAGGTTAAGGTGGCACCTGCTGAGGCTTCATCTGCTCCTGTAAAATCCTCTCCAGTTAAGCCGGCTTTTCATGCCCCAGCGCCCCATAAACTCACATTTGCTGAGGCAGTTGCAAAACCGATCCCAGTTAAACCAGAGGGTGATTTAATAGGTAAGACTCCTACAGAACCCATCTCTTCACCCAAACCTGCCCCCACACCCGCTAAAACCCCGGTCAAGGTGGAGCCTGTGATCAAGAACGACAAGGGTATTTTCTTTTCTCTCCTTTGTGCCATCTGTGTTTCCAACTACCTCTCTGTTCTGTTAATGGCTCAGATTCTGTTGTCTTCAAAGTTATGTTGATGGAGGAACATTCGCTTTCTTTTCCATTTTATTTTATCCTTTCTTGAGGATGCTACGTAGTTGCTGACAAGGAGGCCTCTTGTTGTAAATGGTAGTTGTGTTGCATACTCGACATGTGGCAAATCTGATTTGTTATTGGTTAGGAGGGTTAGTTACTCTTTGAATCTAGCTGCTGAAACTACCTTTTGCAACACCGTTGCAGATTTAAATGAACGTTTCAAATTATTTTAGGTGGGTGTCTGGTCATCCGGGATGAGAAATTGTTTTTAAACCCTATTAACCTGCCTTATTTTCAATCCCCAGATTTAGGACTTTCAAATATACACACGTGTAATAGTTGCCTGGTTGTGACTAAATTATTTGATTCTTTTAAGGATCTGGTACAGAGTCGGACAGCGATGACTCGGTCCCTGACCTGGAGGAACAGGATTCTGCACAAACACAGACACAGCAAGCTCAGGTTAGAGAAGAGTCTGGTCCTAAGAAATGTCCACATTTGTCCTTTACTCTTCAGTGATGATTAACAGACTTTCGTTCATCTGAGCATACTGAAGCCAACCTTTCTGTGCTGAGAAGAGCGTTTACAAAATTACTTGAATATGTCAAGCTCACCATATTCCTTTGCGTGCATTTACTTTTTTGACCTAAAATATTGTCTGTCTCTTGCAGCTTGCTGCTGCTGCAGAAATAGACGAGGAACCAGTCAGCAAAGCCAAACAGAGCCGCAGTGAAAAGAAGGCACGAAAGGTAATGCGGGATCAGTGTTTAAAGAATGTAATGGGCCCTTTTCTACTTCCTCTGTGGCGCTCGCAGTTGGCCACATTTATGAAATGACTTGTTTCTTCCAGGCAATGTCCAAGCTTGGTCTCAGGCAGGTAACAGGGGTCACCAGGGTCACCATTCGCAAGTCAAAGAATATCTTGTTTGTAATTACCAAACCAGACGTCTACAAGAGCCCTGCATCAGACACATACATAGTCTTCGGTGAAGCAAAGGTACGTATCAGTTGTCAATATTATCCACCTTTCTCTTAATCCCTTGTAGAGCTGATTGCTCATGTCATAGGATCCGTTCCAGTCTTATCTTGTATAGCTACAGATCACTGATTGAACCGTCCAAAGAGATGATACCAAAATCTTTTGGCTCAAAATATTCTGCTAAATAACGTCTCAATCTCCTTTTTATTCTGCGTTCTCTAGATCGAAGATCTTTCCCAGCAAGCCCAGCTGGCTGCAGCAGAAAAATTCAAGGTACAGGGAGAAGCTGTATCAAACATACAGGAAAACACACAGACGCCAACAGTACAGGAGGAAAGCGAAGAAGAAGAGGTAAGATGAAGTTTTATTCAAGTGAAGATGGACTCTACATATGAATAAACATTTTTTGTTTTAACATGAACTTTTAACAAACTATTGCCCCGTGTCATTATAGGTGGATGAGACCGGCGTTGAGGTCAAGGACATCGAACTCGTTATGTCACAAGCCAACGTGTCGCGAGCGAAGGCTGTACGCGCCCTGAAAAACAACAACAACGACATTGTCAATGCTATTATGGTAAGATTTCAAAATGGGTTTTGAATGGTCATAAAATTGCTTTGAGTATTTATCAATAAAGCCATTTAAATGTCCATTTTAGATAGATAAATGTATGGGGAGCTCTTCAGTGATGATTAACAAACTTTCGTTCTTCTGAGTTTACTGAAGCCAATATTTCTGTCCTGAGAAGAGTCTCTTTGTAGTGAGGAAAAGAAGTGAATGTGAAGACGTAATAGATAATAAATCCTCTTTTGTTCCCTCTTGCAGGAGTTGACGATGTAATGGGACCCTCGCAACAAAGGGTTGAAGAAAGGTTGCTGATGTGAGCTCATTTATACAATTTTCATCAATAAATCATCAATCAATAAAGCCATTTAAATGTCCATTTTAGATAGATGATCTGTGTATGGGGAGCTCTTCAGTGATGATTAACAAACTTTCGTTCTTCTGAGTTTACTGAAGCCAACATTTCTATCCTGAGAAGAGTCTCCCTTTGTAGTGCGGAAAAGAAGTGAATGTGAACACATGTAATAGATAATAATTCCTCTTTTGTTCCTTCTTGCAGGAGGTGACGATGTAATGGGACCCTCGCAACAAAGGGTTGAAGAAAGGTTGCTGATTTAAGCTCATTTATACAATTTATACCCAAGGTGGAAATAAAGTTGTGGATGATAAATTGAAATTTTTAGTTTTGCACATCATTGGAAAATGGGTGGAATTTTTGTTGTGGTCTGGTTGCATAAATGATGGTTGACCTGTTTTTTTTGTTCATGGATTTCCGTTTTTCTTCTCATAAATGACTATGGTTCACAAAGAGCTGATCCAATCCAGCGCCACTTAATTATATATCTTTGAGATGCAATTTATCTGAATTCTGGCCGGATGCATCAACTATAATTCTAGAGGTTGCAGGCCAGTAAAAGTGATATTAAGATGAGAAATACCTATGGAGTATATTATCTTGTGTTATTTAAAGTGTTTAATATTATTTTTTTAAATGGATAATAGAGCAGTTTCACTGACTGGGTCCTGCTCTTGGTTTATCTCCATCACACACAGGAGGACCACCTGATGCACACATAATCCCACCAATGACTTATTCCACTGCCAAAGATGTGCAGCAATGTGCCAATAAAGAACGCTGCAAGTGGGGAACATAAGGAGAAAAATATTTTTAAATCCTAAGTGTTTTGAGTAGAAGTACTTTTGTACACTTTACCATTAAGAACCTGCTTGTTTGCATTACTTATGAAGAAGGCAGCAGTAAACACACCAATAAATAAGATATTCCTTTATTAGTCCCGCAATGGGGAAATTCAAAGGATAGTGGCACAAACTGGACCGTGCACACAAGATACACAGTAAAAAAAACAAGAGCAGCAGCAAATGCCAAGGCTCAACTTGGCCTATCAACAGCTGCTATAATTATGGTACATATTTAAAAGTAGGTAATGTGGACAAATCCTTTCACTTATGTGTTTGAGTTGTTTCACCCCTTGGATATTATATAAGACAATTAGTCCAATATACAACACATTCTGAATAAATCCTTGCGGGTGGAAAAATTAAAACTCCAAGCTCTATCCTATATGTGATAAAGGATACCTTAAGGGGATATTTACATTCATACATACAACATAGGTTGTCAACTATTCACTGTATTCATGAAGATCGACATTTCTGACCACTTATTGGATCTCCCTTTGTAAAATTGTTGATTGGGTCGCATTGGCCCATTATATCGTTTTTGTAAATACTTACTCAGACAGAAAATGATTAGATTCACAAATTGGTTAATTCGCAATGCATCTATTTGTTCTAATGTGATGGTTAATTTGTGGGTTTTCACTCAAATATTGACCAAATGATTTATTCAGAAATTATTTGGAATATTATTGTGGCAATGTATGTACGTTATATATACACGAGCATATACACATATATATATATAGATCAACCCATCTTTATGGCTCTTATTTCACTTTCTTAATGAACTTCATATTTATGTCTCTGCGTGTCGTAATTCGAAAGGGGTTCTTTTGATATTTTTATTAAATATGCTTGTAAAGATAAACAGACGTAAAATAATTGATTCGCCCCACACCAGATTACACTCCCCTCCCCCTCCCTCCTCCTCCCCCCGGAGACGCCGCTGAGGCCGCCGCCTCTAGAAACGTCCACCACGCAGCGCCTGCGTCAGCGCGGACGTTCTCTTCCCGGGATACGCAAGAAGATCCGGAGTAGACCCCACAAGCTAGAGGCGTTTGCGGGCTCGTTCCTCTCCTTGTTTTCTGTGCGCAGACATTCAGACTCTCCTTTCACGAGACCGATTCCCCCCCCACGGAGAAAAGAAACTCACTTCTCATCGAAACATGTAAGTTGCGGAGAGTTAAACGCGGCCGTAACTATGGAGGGGAAAGTGCGACCTGCTAGCCGTTAGCTCGCTGGGCTAGCCATGCGAGCTAACGTTAGCTAGCCGATCGTTAGCCGTTTGACAACATGCGTTTTTCTTTTTTCTTCGGGGAAGGCGGGAGGTTGGCCTCCACTCAATGAATTAAACAATAACGTTACGTCGCTTGAACCTGCCAGACAGAAGAAAAACACAACGCGCCGTCGCGGTTATTATAGCGGACTCGCCGCTGCAGCATTTTAGTTTGATTCACGGCCGCGTTTTGCAATTTAGCTCCGGCCAGGTGCACCGCATGGCTCAACCCGCGTAGCGGCTAACGTTACAGTCAGCGTTCTTAGCTCGGCTAGCTGCCTTGATTGAACGCCCCCCCCCCCTCCCCACAACGTGCTGTCATTAGATCGGGTCTTTGTGAGCGGTGTTTTACAAAGAAAATGCACGCGTTTGTTTTTTTATATGCAAAAGCCCGTCTAGACGTCACGTCTTGAGAGGAGGGAACGACGTTAAGTGAACGTTTGCGCCGTTAGTTGACGTTAGCCTCCAGGCGCTGGCTGCTCCTCGTTCACGTGTAAGAGGATTTGGCTAATCACTCCGTCCGATTTGATACCAAGATCAATGTATTTTATGTTTTTAACGTGCAGAAGTAAACGCCCTATCACTTGAAATACGTTTTAACTAATTTAAGCGAAGCCGCCGAGTCGCTATTTGTGAATGTGGCCGCCGACATGTGACTTAAATATAGTGGGAGGCTTTCATCGGAGATTGCCATCGCGGGGGAACGTTTCACACATGGTTCGAGTGTCCTTTGTGGGAGGAAACACTGGATTCTTTCAGGGTCTTTTCTATCTAACCGTGCTCCCGTAGCGTTGGACTGATCGCGGAGCTTTATTTGAGCCTCACTGATGGTAAACCTTGGACATTAGTCTCAACAACGTCACGGGGAACTTCAGCTCAGCCTTTCCAAAAAACAAAATCGAACTTCGATGTGTAACAGGATGCTGAGAGTCAACCTGATACCTGGACCTTCTGTGGCCTCAAAGCTCACCCACCTGTCACCAGCACCTATGAGCCCTTTGATGCATTTTTTATGTTGTGGGTCCGATGAGCAGGCTGGTCCTTTCCAGCCTAACATGGTGTTTTAGACTCTAAGGGTAATCAAACGGCTTGTTTGGATTTATGTGTGTTGATGTTAGATGTCCCCTTTTCTCTCTTTTTCCCTCACAGGCATCCAGCAACAGCCAAGTGGTACGACAGGAGGGACTCCGTTTTTATAGAGTTCTGTGTAGCAGACAGCAAAGATGTTAAAATCAATTTTGATAAAGCAAAGTTTGGTTTCAGGTACGTCTGTTTCCTAATGGATTTATAGTGAAAACCTCAACCTTTTTTTATATAACTATGAATTTCATGAGGAAGCTGTGTTTTGTTTTTTTCCCCCTGAAATGACTTTGCTGTTATTGCGTTTCTGCAGTTGTTTTGGAGGAACTGACAATGTCAAGCATGAGAATGAAATGGATCTTTTCGAGGCCATCGACGTTAATGTGAGTTCCACTAAATAGTTTTTGACAGTATTGCAGATTTTATTCTACGAACTACTGACGGAAACTGACTTTTTATTTTCTTTGTCTCCATGCAGGAGTCCAAACACAACCGCACAGATCGCTCAGTGTTGGTCTATTTAAGAAAAGCACAGCCGGGGAAGCCGTGGCCGAGGCTAACAAAAGAGAAGGCCAAGGTCAGTTATTGGATGCAAAGGACAGCGTGCAGCATAGTTGCACATGTTTACAGTAAGATATAAATTATTGCACAACATGAGAGATCACCATTTTGTGTTTTCACAGCTGAGTTGGCTCAGTGTCGACTTCAACAACTGGAAAGACTGGGAGGATGACTCCGATGAAGAGATGGGGAACTTCGATCAATTCTCAAATGTAAGCTCTTTGCACTGATTAGAAGTTACACATTCCGACTACAATCCGGCATCTTTTGTTTATGCTTTAGATTTGAATAATTGGAAATATTAACAGCGATCGAAAGACTGCAGACCGAGCAGATTTCACATGTTAATACTGTTTAAGCAGGCGTGTTGACAATGCATGATCTTTGTTACTTTTTTTCAGTGTTGAGCGTTGTCCTCTATTTTACGTTCTCTTATCTGGCTCTGTGCCGTGTGGCTGGAGGAGCTCGGCACCGAGTTCACATGAATAACACGAAAGCGCAGATCAAAGGACGGATGACATCAGAGCTTACCAATACTCTGGTCTCAAATAACTTCTCAACGAGTCACGTTAATTACCGAGTTTCGGGACCCATCCTTATTTAACCGTCCTAAAAACATGGCAATGGCTTTTGGCCGAGCAGCAAAGTGCCCTTAAAAGAATCGCAATTTTTTTATTCTGTGAGCTGGTTTGGCTTAAATTCCGAAATAAATGCTTTCCACCATTGTTTTACTGTGAGTACGGCGCTTGATGTTTTGGGTATCTTAAAATCTGGCTTTATGTTTCAGATCATGAACAACATGGGAGGAGAGGATGACCTGGCGGATCTAGACGGCCCGGAAGAAGTAAGAATCAGTTTTTTTTCTTTTAATAAATACCAACTGATCATGAACATCCTTATTGCCTGTTAAGTTATTATCATAAAATGTTTATGTGTAACATCTCTCAACCTAATCTGTCTTTTTTTTCCTTTTTTTAAGGAGTCTGCAGATAGCGATGACGAGAGTGAGTATTTATGACGGCGCTTCTGTGAATGATGGCTGTCGATGTAATTTGAATAAAAGATTGTGATGATGTCATTTCTGCTCCACTTTACTTTCAGAAATGCCAGACTTGGAATAGAAGACTGTAAGAAGAAAAATGGAAGAACAGAGGGCAAGAGGAATCATAACAAATGTATATCTTGAAACTGAAGGCAGTGACAGACAACTGTACATATGAGTCAGTAGCCATATTTAAATCCATAGCCTCAGCTCCAAACTCTTGACCGATCAGTACACTGAAGGTTGATATGCATGGTATTGTACAGAGCAGCTATCTCCACTTCCATTTGCTGTACTGCACCTTTTTGGGCATCTTGTTTTACTGTTAAATATTACAAGTAAGCACACATTATTTGTTGGAAAAGCTGTGTCGTGATCAACTGAGCAATATGTGATTACAGATTTACAAATTGTTTCCCGAATTAATTGTGATTATAAAAGAAATAGGTCCACCCAGTCCCGATGTTGTGGTTTTTAAGTTGACCAGTGTAGTTTCTCTTGATTTAAAAAAAGGCACTAGCTATGTACACCATATGAATTAGATGGATTTTTTGATTGGGTTCCTCTAAAGCCTTCCACTTACCATGAATTAGACATCCAGGGATCCAGTCTTTGTTTCTGTGGCTTAACCTTTCAGCTTACATGTTTCCCTTTACTTCTTGTTTAATGTTTTTGAAAAATTTGAATATTCTGAAATCATTGCAGCATCTTCCCAGTTTGTCTCCACCTTTGGTAATCTGACTAGATTCCACCTATTTAGTATCTTAACAGCTCCTCTTTCCATACCCCACTAACACACAAACACTCACGTTAGACTGCAGAAGCTCGGTGAAGTGTTTTGCAACTGATATGGAGGCTTGATGCTTAATTGGGCCTCGGCGTCATGTGGTGTTTTTCTCCAGGTTCTTTCAGTTTGTTCATCTGGACTGATCCTCCCTTCTGGGAGAGGGCGCGTCGGACCGATACAGTGACGTGTAATGACCAAATTATATTTGCTCTGTCATTAAAATTGTAAGGGGAGACAAATAGTGAAGTACAGTGGAAATTCTTTTTTTATTGTCTACATCTTTCTAATAAACTGTTTAAGAATCAATTTCAATCTCCTTTTTTTTTTCTAAAGGAGGTTAATGGTACAACATGTGCCTTTTTTCAATAAGTAATTTTGAACAGAACACAATTATGGGGAAGTATGTCTGATGTTTTAATTTGAATTTAATTCAAACATTCTAAAGTCAGGAAAAAAATTTTACTCATATTTTGGATAAATTTATATTATATTTATTATATTTTAGCTAATGCACAGTCAACAGCCAAAGAAGGCATTAATAACCATACAAGTTGAGCTATGTTCTTGTATTTGACATTTTGTTTTTAAGATTTAGACTTTTGTAACTATGTTTTTAAATAATGATTTTATGTTTAAACTCAAATACTTAGTGTTTAACCTAATAAAGCGTTGGTTCTACTTAGTATCCAGTATTTCTACCGGTAACTAACTTGTATTCTTTCGGTTCTAAGACCCAGAAACCTTCCGCCTCTCCGGGACAGAATATTAGCATAGTGTCTCTGCAGGCCTGATTTCCTCAGTCATTTCCGAGACGGCGGCTTTAATTTGCAAAACTAGTTTCCTGTTTTTACCTTGGAACACATTAAAATAAAAGCCTACATTTTTCCATTAATATGTGTAGAACTCAAATCGGCCATTAAGCCCTTATAACCCCCCCAAGTGCGGGTACTGGGGTATTGTAGCCTATTTTACTAGAATAGCAAATCGAAAGAAAATGAATTTTCACAAAAACTCACAAAGTAAACTTATTAAAAACATTGTAATTTTAGATGTACGTATATATATATTCCACATATTTTTATAAGTATATATGTAACAGATCTCATGTTCCGGTGTGAGCTGATATATTACTTTAATGTATTAATTTTAGTTTATTAACTTCTTTTTTTTTAAGAACCAATATCAGAAAACACAATATGGGTAAGTTATTACTAAAAACAGTTCCCACTCGGAGCGGCTCTGGCCGTTGTTGATGTTACTCGGGATTTTCTTGTGAAGTCCGGGGACGTCATGTGACCGGATGTGTACTCGGTTGTTGTTGGGACGTTTACGCTGCTCGGTCCGCTCCGTTCTGTGATCATGGCTGCAAAGGACCACACCAGCCATGTTCGCTAATTTAAAACCCAAAGGTTGGGAACAGTTGTTTGTTGTTTACCGCCGTGCCAGCGTCACCCGCACGTCCGTTTAGACGAAGGTTTAGAGCCACCTGAGCCTCCGAAGTCCACGCACCGAAAGGTTGGATAGCTTTAACTGAAATATCAGCGAAACTTTAGATGGTGGCGGTGTGGGAGGAAGATGCTCTGCACGAAGGAGAAAAAAAAATGCGTCTGTGTGCGTGCAGCGTAAACAATGTAACTTCATCTGGCTGCTAGCTAACGTTAGCCCGTGAACAAAAGGGGGGTGAGCACGCCTCCCATCTGTTATCAAGCGAGTGTGTGAGTGTGTGTTAGCGTTAGTCCTTATCCACGGACCCGTTCGATATGTTACATGTTCGTCCCCGGTAAGCCGATGGGCGTCATGGACCCGCGGCAGCGTGGTTGCGGCACCTTCTCCCCGGCTACCAGCTAACGTCGCAGCTCAATAAGCACCGCGATCGCGGACGTTGGCGATGCTATCGGTTAGCTATCTGGCTAGCGTCCCATAGCCGCCGCTGGGTTTCTATTGTGATGATTTAGCCGAATAACCTTGGAGCTGGAACCGGGGATTCTTATTTTTTTTTTATCCGATGCCCGTCCGAGCGGTACGTTCAACCCCGCCGACGAGCCGAGGTCGTGCGGACCGACCCCGGTGCCCGTCGGTCGCTCGGCGGGCGCGTTTAAAGGGGAAATGCCCGTTTGGGGAGACGCAGCTAGCGCGACTCTGCTAACGCGGCGGCTGCTGTTTCCTCTCTCCGTCTGTCGGTTCGGCCTTGTCGAATTATGAAGCCGCGTATCCACGCAGCGCTGCCTGAGCTATCAACGTGCGTGCGGCCGTTGGAGCAGCCGGAGGGGATGGTAACCTGCGGGGGGGGTCGGTAGTGACCCTCACAACATTGTCACCAATTCGGTTTGGTTCGCTTTCCCCCCCCCTCCTCCTCCCCCCGGGGGGGCCGTGCTCGCATCACGGCGGACTGGGCTCGCGTTAGCGGCGGTAATGACGGGCTTCTAACCGTCGGTTCCCGATAATGACGTCGCGGCTCGCTGCGGCCTGCCGTCCGCTGCCGCCGGCTGCGACATTTTTTTTTTTTTTTTTTTTTTGACGGTTGTCGTCGGGACGAAATGGTGCTGTCACCCAGAGGAAAGAGGAGGATGGACACGTCGTGCGTATTGCGTATCGCGTTTAAATGTCCTTTTCTGTGATTTACAGGGGACGCACTTCGGTCCGCATTTGCTTTCACTTCTGTACGTTTTACATTTACATTGTTTATGAGTTTAAGTGTATTTTTCTGTTTTTAAATCTTCTTTTAGATGGAGTCAAATAACCATTTCAACTATGACACCCACTCCTCCGCAAACTCAGGACTGAAACTCTCCCCCGGGGATTCTCTCTATACTAATGGCTCCTCCATGAGTTTCCCTCAGCAGGGCAAGAGTGAGTATTTCTGCGTCTGTATCCGGATTAAACTTGTGAGCCGGTCAGTTTGTGGAAGTTTAACTTGCTTCATCTTCTTCCGTCCAGCAGATATGAACGGCGAAATGAATGTGAACGGCGTCACTACTGTACTCGGGTCCGGCGGGGTGCCCGGTTCCCACCCGCCGTCAGCTCCTTACCCACACATGAGCAACCACCACCAGGGCAGCATGGGCTATGACTACCTGTGGGGGGGTCACCCGCAGTACGGGCCAGCTATGGGCAACCCGCCGGGGCACGGGATGCACCAGAAGCAGCCCACGGTGGTGCAGCCTCAGTCACAGCACCACTTCCAGGCTCACGGACAGTACCAGCTGAACGGGGGCGTCGAGAGCTCCCACCAGGCCCCTGCGTCGGGCCCAGCCAACATGCCCCTTACTGGGAGTCAGTACTGGAACAGGGGTAACCCCGGCCCGCAGCAGATGAGCTACAACTCCCACAGTATGTACGGGACTTACCCGAGTCAGGCGCATCCTGGAATAACACCATCACAACAACAACAACACCACCAGCAGCAGCAGTCCCTACAGCCCGCCCCGCATCAGCCGTCACAGCAGCACCTCCACTCCCACCGTCACCCACACCACCACCACCAGCAGCACCAGCAACCGCAGCATTATGGCCTCATGCCCAATGGGATGCCCTACTACCAGCCTCAGCCTCAGCACCCGTCCCTCCCGTCGCCCCAGCAACAGCCGCCGCTGCAGTCTCAGCCCCAAAGCCAGGCGCAGATGATGCCCCCGGCCGCTCAGAATTTCACTCCGTCGCGCGGCAGCCCCCAGCACCACAGCTTATGCAGAGGGGCCACTGGCAGCCCGCTCCCGGTGGGAATGGCCTCGACGCAAATGATCTCACCGCCAACAGCGCAGGACAGTGGATCGCCCAAGGGTCACAGCAGGGAGCGGAGCCCCCATGCCAGCAATGCAGGGATATCCACCGTCATGCAAGGTGAGCGTTTACGTTCACTACAAAGTGAATGATATTACATTTGTACCCTGAATTGTTTAGTTCTACACTTTGACCCTACTGGTATCCAGGGAACTTCTATTTCCTTATATAAAGTGAACGCTCTCCTCTACTTCCCGTTTCCTCCTTCGATGTCACCAGTTCCTGTTATATTCACAGTGATATGGTCTAATTCCTCTTTGCCCATGTTTGGCCTCGTCATCCTGGGCGCTGATCAAAAAACGCAGCACTCTCTGCTTGCATTTAATTTATATGGCCCCTCTATGGACAATAATTAATTGTTATTGGTAATAATTTTTAGCCCGCTTTTTTTTCTTTCTTTTTTCAGCTTCTCTAATTTGTTTTTCTTGTTCACCTTTTTTTTCTTTTAAATAATATTGTTATTTAATGTATCTATTTAGTCTGTTATAAGTATAGTGAAATATCATTTCGTTTTGCACATTTCATCAGTCTAAATCTCACTTTCAGCTGTGGGGAATTATAATATCCACTTAATTTTTAGACAAAATAAGAAATGGTCAGCAAATATTTTGATTATTATAGTAGTAAATAATGCTGTGCAGTCCTGCTAGTTATTTCTTGCCCATGGATGTCTATTATAGTCTAGAGCCAGGATGCGTTATCGTGCTCTGCTTTGTGACAGTGCTAAGAATCAACCAGCAGGTGCCACTGTTTGATAGTGTAAACCAGTGACCGTCTGCCTCTTTAATAAATGAATCACTCACTGTGAATTCATCACATAGAAAACGCTAACACCCATATATTCTGTTTATCCCCTCCCCAGGTCACACAAAAGAAGCCGTCAAGGAGGTTGATACCAGCTACAACGGTGTGGAAAGAGCATCCGTTGCCCATCGGCTTCCCAAAAGTTCATCTCATACAGGACCTGATTACCGTCAGCATTCTGAGCGACCGGAAATGGCCTCCCCGGTCAGAGAGACGGCCGCTAATACGCCCACTCTGTCAGTGTCGTCTCTGCTCTCTGCATCCACCAAGGCCTCAACACCTCCTCAGGTCCCCGAGTGTCCCACGTCTGCCCCCGGGCCTCCTCCATTATCGCCCCGTGCGGTAGAATCTACTCCACCACGACTCTCCACGCCCCCCCATGTGTCCTCCACTCTATCTCCAGCTGCTCCTCCCAGACTTTCCTCATCGCCACTAATGAAGCATGGCCTCAGGCCTCCCCCTTCTGTTGGGTGCGAGACATCCCCTGCTGGATCCAAGCATCTGTCAGTGGGGTCCTCCTCTTCCTCCCCCCTGCCTGCATGCCCTCAGAAGTCTTCTACACCTCATGCTTCAGCTGATAATGTGTCTAAACCGGCAGGTTGCTCAGTGTCTCCTCCGTCATCGGACTCTTTGACTCCTCAAGCCAAGTCTTCATTGCCTTCTAGACCTCAAGCAAATGTCACAACTGCCCCCATCTCATCTCTTCAGCAGATGGTTCAAGGGTCCAAGCCTCCTCCGATGACATCTTGCTTTTCTGAAACGTCTGGAGCTCCGCATGAGAGGTCTGGACCCCCAAAATTAACGCCTGCCTCATCAATGAGGGACCGATCCTCATCCGCTGGTGTGGCTCCGCCTCTAATTTCAGCACTGGGATCTCCAACCTCAACACCACCCATGGTGTCTTGTACATCATCATCTTCTGTCTCAAAAACCCCTTCAGCTGGCAGTAGACCAGATGACCGAGCGTCCTCGCCCCAGAGACGCGCTGCGCCAGCTGCTGACTCTGGTCTTTTCCCAGCATCCTCGTCACCAGCAGCAGCTGTGAACTTCTCCTCCTCAGCAGCCCATGAAGGCGTCACAATCCGACCTCTGTCTGCCCTACCTCTTCTAACCGCTCAAGCCTCCAGGACTGCACCCGCGTGCGCCCCTCCTGCTCTGGTGTCCCTGACCTCGTCGGCGGGTACGTCTTCTGGAGTGGTCCAGAGTTCTGACCCCGCGCAGCATCCTCCTCGCGCGCCCAAGCGGTCGCCGCCAAAGTCCGAGCACCGCGGTCACAGCGAGGAAAGGAAAGCGTCGGCCAGGGAACGAAACGGGGAACCAGAAGAACAGCTTCCTCGTCCCCAAGTCAAGCCGTCGCATACGGCGGAAGCAACTGAGACTAACGCACCTGAAATTCAATCACCGAAACCTCTCACAGATCTTCCCGGGAGACCTCTGCAGACCACGGCCTCTGACAAGAGTAAACCAACCCCCCCTGAAAAGAACCACCTGCAAAGTGGTATCTGTGAGGCTGAGGACTCCCTGGTGGAGCCCACTCCGCTCAGAATGTCTCCAGATCTCCACAGCACAGGACTAGAACCTCTGACGGATGATGATGAAGAAGAAGAAAGTTTTACCATATCATACGCATTTGATGGCCCTTCGGCATTTGACAGCTCCTCTCGGATGGATGTCAGCTCTGCCTTTGGAAGGAGGTCTAGAAAGAACTCCTACCTAGAGTACGTGGACTCGTGCCCGGGCGACATCGTTCTGACCGACGACATCGTTCTGACCGATGACAGTTTTCAGCTGAGAAAGGACGCGTCTCAGTTCGACAGCACATCCCATGCAGAGGAGGAAGCATCTACCGGGTTTGACACCACTGGAGTGAGCAGCTATTCAGTGCAGGACTCCAGGGACGACACGCTGGACTCCACCAGGGAAGGGGAAACGCCTGAGGCGGAGGAGGCCAAGGAGGGCCCTGCCGTCACAGGAGAACCCCTGCTGGAGTGCCCCCCTCAGATGGACGAGCCTTCTGATATCTCAGGTGAGTCCAGCCCGCACTCATTTGTGGCATTTATGGACCATTCCTAAAGTTCATGATCATGGAAACCAGTATCAGATGGGTTGGCAAGCTGTGGTCATTACTGTGGTTATGTAGAACGAATGGAGTTCTTTATTATCTCCTCCATACATGTATTGATCTTGCCCTTTGCTTATATTGTCACATGTTATATATAGATACGTTTCAAAACTCCTCCTACTTTGTGTGTCATCGTCCTGTATTTTTTTTAAATTTTTTTTTATTTGAAATGTTCTTGTGGTTTCATCTCAGGACCTGACGCAGAGTCGGGTCCCGGAGGACACGATGCGTCAGACTCAGCCAGACGCGTTGGCATCAACACCACTGGTAGTGAGGCGATGACTCCCCCGAGTTTTAAGATGAGAGACGAGAACTTCCTCGCCTCCAGTACCCCTGCGGAGAGCCTCGCTGTGCACCCACTCCAACCCGCGACGGACCCCATCGCGCCAGCTGCAGGTGGACCCCAAAAGACGCCGCGCAAACCGCGCAAACCTCGCACTCCAAAGGCAAAGTTGATTAAAAGCCCAGGTATTTAACGTCAGTAAAATATGTTAATAGTTAACTGTTAAAATATTACACCTGATTTAATAATGATTTTTCTAATTGTTATGTTAAGCTCCGGAGGAGGCCAAGCGGAAGCCTCGGGCTCGAACCCCTAAAGCGGAGACGCTTAATACCACTGAAGAGGGCGGCGATAAGGAGGCGGTAGTCAAGGGCAGAAAGAGGAAGAAGCCCGTCAAGGTGGACGTGAACGAAACGTCTGATGTCAGCGGAGCGGCCGCGCCTCCCACAGGAGACGTGGATCCCATCACAGCCACGATCGAAGCGGTTCTGGCCGACGCTTTAGCTTTCACCCCAACAGTCGTGAAAGCCAGGAAACGGGTCAGGAAACAAGACCAGCAAGGAAATGTGGCAAAGACACCCAAGCAAGACGGCGAAAAGACGGCTAACGACGCCGAGGAAAATGATGACGACAGCTCCACTGCAGGTAATGAAGGCGCTTGGTTGGTCCTTCTGTTCGGAGGGTTCCACTGGTGATGTCATTCACGGTGCAGAGTTGTGTGTGTTTACAGGTGAATCCAGCAGACAGCGGAGGGTTGCAACCGAGGAGCAGGTTCAGTTCCCGATGGGACACGGGTAATGTTCCCTTGTGGAGTTTTATTTATTGTGTTGTTATAGTTTCTATAATATTTAATAAATCCAATGCCATCCACTAAAACGTGCCCAACATGCGTGATTTCTGCAAGTTAGCCAAATAGCTGCTAAATGAATCAATTTATATCCACTTAATTGTAACTAAAGGCTTTTCATTTCTGCATTAAACTGTACGTTTATTAATTCTAAATAGATGAAAAACATATTTTTTAATCTGAATGAACCTGTAAATGAGTTAAGTGTGACTTTTTTCTCCATCTGTAATCCTTGTACTGTAATAACGAACTCTAGTTGGAAGCGGGAGATTCGTGTGAAGAAAATAGAGGACCGCATGAAGGGCGAAACCTGGTACTACACACCCTGCGGACGCAGGATGAAGCAGTTCCCGGAGATAGTCAAGGTATTCATATTCCTGAAGGTTGTGCGAAACCGTAAATGTCCATTTTTAAATTATTAAAATGACCTGTTGACAATGTCAAACCATTGACATTACTCTGCCTGTCCTCTTAACTGCTTCCTCCAGTACTTGAAGAAACACACGGACAGCGTGGTCGGCAGGGAACACTTCAGCTTCAGCCCGCGCATGCCTGTTGGCGATTTCTACGAAGAAAGAGAAACCGCTGAGGTCTGTATATTGGTTTTCCCTCATATACTCATATGTACTCATCCGAGGAGCCGTATGATTTGGGATCTGCTGCACAGCTTAACACAAACCCGTCGAGAGGACATTTCGGGGACTCATCCTTCTCTACTTTGTGTTCCAGGGGAAGCAATGGATCCTCCTGGCCAACGAGGAGGTTCCCTCCATGATCATGGCGATCACTGGCCGGCGAGGTCGACCCCCAAACCCCGATAAAGAGAAACCGCGGCGGGTCCGTGCCCTGAAGGCGGGGCAGGCCCGCCGCCCCGGCAGACCCCCCAAACCCACGCTGATGGACCTCCTCAGCAAAGTCGACGCCAAGCTTTTGAAGCGCCTCGAGGCCAAGGGTGAGTGTGTTTGGCCCCCAGAAGCCACGCGTGTTTATTGGCAACACACAAAATGGATTTTAAACGGTTTTATTTCCATTTGTAGAAGCTCTCACGGAGGAGGAGAAGGAGAAACTCGCGAAAATCAAAAAGAAACTGAAGAGAAAGGTATCGAGTGTGTGCTTCAAGTAGCTTGGACCTTTTTAGAGCGGTTTTCCTGTTGACAGCTCGTCCTGATTGTTGCTGCTGTTTATTATTCAGGCCAGAATGAAGAGACGGGAGGACGCCAAGGTTAAGAAGATGAAAGTGGAGAAAAACAAGGCCACGGTGCTGATACGATCAACCCCAAATGATTCACCAGCGTTTTCCTCTGCACCACCCCCTCCTCACCTCCGCCTGTTCTTTCTCTCTCTGTCGTGCGTTCAGCTCGAGCAAGAGGCCAAGGACCCAAAACCGAAGGCTGAACCAACCGACCCGACGGCCCCCCAGGCCGCGCAGCAGCCGGCGCCGCCGCCGCCACCGCCGGTGTCACCCGCCGAGCCCAAGAAACCCGGGCGCAGGAGGTCAGTCAAGGTGGAGGCCCCTCCGCCGGTACAGCAGACGGACGAGGAGAGGATCGCTCAGGGCAAGCGGGTGCTGGGCGCTCGCAGCAAAGCCAAGGCTCTGGCCAAGGCCCAGGCGGAGGCCGAGGCGGCCGCTCAGGCGGCTCTGACCGCTAAGAGGGCGGCAGAGAGGAGGGCGCAGACCCAGAGGCGCCTGGAGGAGCGCAAGAGGCAGCAGCTGATCGCCGAGGAGCTGAAGAAGCCCATCGAGGACATGTGCCTCACTGACCACAAAGTGAGTTGTCTGATTGAACCCGTGTCTTTTTGTTGGCGTGATTCCAGAGGGTTCTGGATTGTGACTTGTCTCGTGTCTCCGTCAGCTGCTGCCAGAGCTCTCCCGTATCCCGGGTGTGGTTCTCTCCGGCAAAGCCTTCGCCCACTGCCTGGCTGTGGTGGAGTTTCTACACGGCTACGGGAAGATCATCGGCCTCAATATACCCAAGGACGTCCCCAGCCTCGCCACCCTGCAGGAGGGTCTCCTGGGCCTGGGCGACGGCCAAGGGGAAGTCCAGGACCTTCTGATCAAGCTGATGGAGGCGGCTCTCCTCGATCCAGGCCTGCCATCGTTCTATCAGGTGTGTGACACCGTTTGGACATTTTCCCCGTTGATGCAAGTCCCGATAAAGAGACGTTTTTTTTTTAATCCCCCCTCTTTTTCTCCCCCTTCCAACCACCAGTCAGTAAAGATCCTCGGCGACAAGCTGGTTGAAACCGAGCTGACTCGCAGCACCGTCTCCGAAGTGCTCCGGGTCTTTTTGGAATGTCACGGCTACGAGACGGACGTCTGCAACGCGCTGAGGACCAAAACGTTTCACGCGCTGCCTCCGGACACCAAGGCGGCCATCCTCGGCTTCCTGGTGGACGAGCTCAACAGCAGCAACGCTGTGACGAGGTCGGGACAAGAAGTCAATGATTCCTCCTCTTAAGTTACCCGCGAACTGCTGTCGATTTACCGCATTAATGTATGCATTTTAAATTCCAGTGACATTGACAACACATTAGAAAACATGGCAACTTACAGGAAGAACAAGTGGATCATTGAGGGGAAGCTGCGCAAGTAAGATGATGGTTTTCCTTCGTCAAATGAATCTGAATCCTCAACCTTTTCTCGTGATTAAAACACGGCGCCGCAGGACTTGCTGATCCGGATTGTTTTCTCCCTTGCAGGCTGAAGGCAGCACTAGCGCGCCGCACGGGCCGCTCGGAGGAGGAGCTTTGCTTTGAGGAGAGGAGGCGCAGTGCCAGAGTGGCGGAGGAGGAGACCCTCAGTCTGGAGGATGGTGGCCTGGTCTCTGAGCGAGGCAGCCGCCGCGTGCGCAAGGAAGAGCCCAAACTCAGTGATGTAAATATCCGCCGTTGTGATTGTTTTCTTTTTTTTTTTCTTCTCCATTAGATGCAGATTTTTCCGGCATTTACTTTTGATCCTTTCTCCTACAGAGTGAGAGTCCTGCTAATGCCAGCATTCCAGAGCTGGAAAGGCAGATTGATAAGCTATCCAAGGTAAGTCAAGGCTGCACAGATGCAGCTATTCATACATTTACCCCGAGTTCTACTAACAATCCACTTTTGGATCCCCCCCCCCAGCGCCAAGCGTTTTTCCGGAAAAAGCTGCTACAGTCATCTCATTCCATGCGGGCCATACTGCTGGGCCAGGACCGCTACCAGCGCCGATACTTGGCTCTCCCGCACCTCGGAGGAGTCGTGGTCGAAGGGCCGGAGGAGCTTTTGAGTGAGTCAGAGAGTGAAGTTTGAAAGAAACGTAATTTCTTTCATTTTTGAGACTGCTTGACTTCATCTGAACGTTCCTCGTGTCTCCATCACGCAGCTTCTGGAGAAGTCCTCGTAGCCGAGGTTCCCGTCACCTTCCTCAAAAAGGAGCCCAAAGTGGAGGAGATCCCCACGCCCACCACTCCCCCTCCTGCTCTACCGTCCTCCCCCTCCTCTGCTCCCTCCGCACAGACCTCATGTCCAGAGGACAACGACCTCCCCGGCACTGCATCCCTCATGAGCACGCCAAGAGGTCGAGGGCGGCCGCGAAAAATCAAACCAGAAGTGGAGCTCCACCTGCGCACGGCGAAGATTCGCCGCCGGCGCCGGAGTAGCGCCCGGTCGGCGGGGGGGGAAGCAACGCCCGGGTCGCCGGGCGGCGGCTGCGGCCCGCAAAACCTCACGCAGGTCGCTTTCCAGAGCTGGCTCAGCCAATCGCAGGACGCGGTGACCAACGGCGCGTGCTCGGCAGCAGGAGACGCTCCGGAGGGGAATCGCCCGGAGGAGAGCGTGAAGGAGGCGGCGGAGAAGCAGGGGCAGTGGTTCAACCTGCTCCCCAAACAACCGTGCGACGAGGACTCTCTGACCGCGAGTCAGATCCCCAGCTCGCCCCCTAAGCTCCTCCCCCAGACCGCCAGCGCTGCGCCCGCAATCGCCGCTCCACTCGCGCAGGTTTGCAGACACAATCCGAGCTGCAAATGCAGGTGATTAATAGTGTTTCTGTGCGTGTGTGTGTAAATAAAGACTCTCTCCGCCCCTCAGCCGGACCCGCCCTTGCCGAGCCTGACCGCTGCCGACCTCTCGACCCTGGCAACCCCGCAGGAAATTCCCCCTGCGCTACCTGCTGCTGCTGCTCCCGCTGGCTCCCCGGCTCCGCCGCTCCCTCAGCTTCTTCCGGCTACCATTCCTCTGGCAACGATTCCTCCGACTACCATTCCTCCGGCAACGCCCGCCCCGACGACCCCCGCCAAGCCGGGGCGCAGGCGCAGGAGAGGCAGCCGAGGCAGCAGTCCGGCTCGCAGAGGAGCGAGAGGAGCCGCGGCCAAGCGCCGCGGCCGGCCTCCAAACTCCGTGTTCCAAGAGCTCGAGCAGCTGTACTTCACCCAACTGGTGGTCAAGCCGATACCAGCATGTAAGTTGTCTTCTGCTTAAACTACACGGACACTTTGAGATTGAAGTAGTTTGAGTCGAGTTGAGGAATGTTGGACTCCACGCTGACGGAATTTAGTTTAGAAATATGTAAATCATGGTCACTTTGTAAGAAATATGCTTTTTTTTCCCCCAGCAATGGTGCGCGGCTGGTGGTGGATCAAGGACCCAGAGGAACTGTATAGCACCTTACAGGCCCTCCATCCAAGGGGCATCCGGGAGAAGGTTCTCCACAAACATTTGGCCAAACACATGGAGAGTTTAGCTGAGATCTGCAACAAGCCCGTCAACGGTGAGTGCTGTTCCCACATGGAGCCTCTGTAGAGTTTTTCATTTGGCATCGACATCGTCGTTTCTCATGTTTTTGTCTGTCTTTCCCTCGTCTAGACCCTATATTTGAGTCAAAGGTAGACGAGAAGGACCTGCTGGTGGAGGCTCTGCAGCAGCCTTGGCAGGTGCAGGAGAGAGCAATGGAGACCGACGTTTGCGCCCTGCAGTGGGTGGAGGACCTGGAGCAGCGCGTCGTTGCAGCCGACCTCCACCTCAAGGTGAGAATCCACTTCCTCATTTTTGTGTGTTTCTATTCTGCACCGTCTGATTAACAGCTACAACTCCAGTTAAAAGAAAATGCAGAGGGGTTGCTTCTCCTATTCACTGTGGTCTTGGAATATTGCTTGAATAAAAATGTGCAACAAATTGACTTGTGTCTCATTCACAATGACGACATCTGAGTTGTAGTAAAATCAAATATCCACTCTGTGTTTGTACCAGGCGGCTCCTCAGAGTGCGGTGAACGAAGCCAACACCGAGTCCAACACAGAGACACCGATGGCTGAATTCCAGGTAATTCTCCAAACACTTGATGAGCGAATTCCTGTAGTGAAGGACACTACCACCGATACGTGAACTGTCCTTGTCTCCTCTTTTTGCAGCCCTACACGATCCCAGAACCCGACTCCACACGCGACGACCTCCAGTACTACGAACACGACGCCGACCCGCGCGACGACTGGACCGTGCGCACCAAGAAGGAGTGGTCCGGCCTGCCGCGCGTCGCCACACACCCCGTGGACCTGGCGGTGCTGCGGCTGTCCAACCTCGAGCGGAACATCGAGAGACGCTACCTGAAGGAGCCGCTCTGGAACCCGGCCGAGGTGATGCGCCTCGCCCCGCTCACGCCCACCCCAGGAGAAGAGCATCCCATGGATGTCTTCAGGTGAGATGGACTTGCATGTGTCTCTGGAAAGGAACGGGTTCTGTTTGTTGTTTTTAAACCTATTTTCCCCTTTTTTAATTTCGTCCTAGTCTGGAAAGCGAGATCACGTCCCGACTACGAACATGGCGACAGGCTCTGGACCGCTGCCGCAGCGCCCCGCAGGTCTGTCTGTGTTTACTCCAGCTGGAGAAGGCCATTGCATGGGAGAGATCGGTAACTAAAGTGGTGAGTAATTTAACCTCCCGGGGTTGTTTTTTTGCTTTTTGCACAAACTAAAATAAATGAAAACCAAATTCTCATTAGTTGCCATCTTAACTATAAGGACCTTTTTAATCCAGAATTGCCAGGTCTGCAGGAAGGGAGACAACGACGACCTCCTCCTGCTGTGTGACGGCTGTGATCGCGGTTGCCACATGTACTGCCTGAGGCCCAAGATCACCCAGGTGCCGGAGGGAGACTGGTTTTGTCCTACATGCGTCGCCAAGGTCAGAACCCGTCCTCTGGATTGATTACTTTGTGATGAGTGTCCCCTCCAACTGATTAGCTGACCAGAAACCCGGTCGTTGCCTCGCAGGTTTTCACGTATGAGGAATTATTCCCTCGTGTTTTACAAATACAATCTTTTAAAATGAAAGGTAGTTGTGAGTTCCCCGTCCGCTCCCCCTGATTGCTCGGCCGCTCTGTCCCTCAGGACGAGTGTGACGTGCAGCGCTCGTCCAAGACCAGGACCAGGGTGAAGAAGCGGCGGTACGAAGACGACAGCTCCGAAGACGAGACGTCGGCGCGGCGGAGCGGCGGCGGCGGCGGCGGCGGCATGGCAACGCGGTTCAAGGAGGCCGTGACGCCGCCCTCGTCCGCCCGTCACTCGGGAGAAGGAAGCGCCGCCAAACGGCGCCGCATGACGACCCGCAACCAGCCCGACCTCACGTTCTGCGAGTGAGTCGTCCTGTCAATAAAAAAAAAATAAAAAAAATCTTTTTAACTCTACAGGGTGAAAACGTTTTTGTGATGGGATGGATATGCGTTTGTTTGACTCCCGCTAGGATCATTCTAATGGAGATGGAGGCTCACTCGGAGGCCTGGCCGTTCCTTGAACCCGTCAACCCCCGACTGGTACCGGGATACCGCCGCGTCGTCAAGAACCCCATGGACTTCCTCACCATGAGAGAGAAGCTGCTGCAGGGAGGGTACGGACACCTCTTGTGCTGCTCGTGGCATTAATACTTGCACCGTAATGAATGAAAGCGAATATGTAAAGCGCACTTCCTTTTTAGCTTTTAGTAAAACAAAAAAGGGTTTTAAGTGGATCTCAAAAAAATGATAAATTGACAGAAATTTGAATAAATTTGACTGCGCAACTGTAGAATGAATAAGGACCACAAGTCTCTAAAAAGACATAATGCTGTTTTCCAACAGTGTCATCCAACAAAATATTGTGCTTTAATCTACATTTATTGGTGTTCAGCCTTCCGAAAACCGTCTCTCTACTCTCAATAGCGTTTTACTCCCCCGCCTCTATTAGCGGGATGACTAACTGTGATTTAACGGCACCGTGAATTCTTCAGAGCTCGAGCAGCGGCCACATTGGACAGTTCCTCAACACTACCAAGCCGAGAATATTGAAGAATAGAATATGCACCCAAATATTTCTCACACGTTTAAAAAAATGTGAGGATATCAGTCTGCCGTGTCCCATTCCTCCCGTTGACGTTGTCCTCCTCTTTCCTCGCCGCAGGTACGGGAGCTGCGAGGAGTTCGCGGCGGACGCTCAGCTCGTCTTCAACAACTGCGAGCTGTTCAACGAGGACACGTCGGAGGTGGGAACGGCGGGACACTCCATGAGGCGTTTCTTTGAGAGCCGCTGGGCGGAGTTCTACTCGAACAAAGACAAATGAGCGTCTTCCCCCCCCGGGAGGGGGCGGGGCTGCATACTGTTGGCGCCGTCCCGGGCGCAGTCCTCTCCATTCCCGCTAAGACTGTGCGGAGGTGGTTCCAGCGACGCGTGTTCTCTCATGTATAGGTATATATGTATAGATTTTGGCTATTTGTCTGTTATTGTTCACTCTGCCGGCTAAACCGGTTTGAACTCGTACCCATTCCTCGCCACGGAGAGCGAGAACGCGCCTCTCGCCACTTTTCATTCCCCCTCTCGTGTCTCCTCATCCTCACCCGGGCTCCTCATCTCCAGTTGGCATTTCTCCCGTCAACCCCCCCACACTGGGTTATCTTGGTTGTTGCTCCGCCTGGAGGCCGCTCACACTATCGCAGCCTGACCGCTGCGCTCTGGACCTGCTCGGCGACTAAATGGATCCAAACGCTCCTCTGCGCTCGGGGCCTCGTCCGACCCGCTCAATGGAATTGTAATGTAATGTGGTCTTATGCCTAGAAGTAATTTTTTTGCTCAATATATTTTTATTATATATTCTATACATAAATATATATAAAGATTACAATAGCTGGGATTATTTAATAGCAATAGCGTGTAGTGGATGTGTACAGATTACCTTATAGAGATGTCTAGACGATTTCTGAAAAAGGCCAGTTAAACTTGACATAATCTGTTCTTGGACTGTCACGAGTAGATGTTGTATAACCTCCACTTACGTCTTGCCGTTTCCACCTACACACACGACACGACTTGACACACACACACACACACCAACCTTCTGCTGCTCTGTGAAAGACACTGGCTTCTGAGACTTGGGGATTTATTCGATGTTGATCAGCCTGTCCAGGCTTCGACTTTTTTTATTTCACTGTTCCCTCTTGTTAAAAGTAAATTATCATCTAGTTTCACAGACTGTATACAACTGAATGGTTTCTATGGCAACAAATAGCTCACACTGAAATTTTGCTCCATTATACGATAAAATGGCCTCGAGACGGCGTTTGCAGGCGAGAACTCTTCTGTGAGCCGGGGGCTCGTCTGAGCAGGTAGAAACATCTAAGCTGGGCTGAAGATCCTCCCGTTTTAAAGAGAAGATGTGCGACGGAGCTCAGACAATGAGGTTCTGGGCACATCCCTGCCTGGTTTTCTGTCTTACATTCCTTGTTATTGATTTGTTTGTTTTGTTGCTTTTCAAGGGCCAATTTGTGACGTTGCGTTGGCGCGGTTGGTTTGCTCTGAAGGCGACATGATGACTCCACACTCTGGGTTTTATTTAAACGTGTTTCTTACACTGAACTCAAAATCGGTTGATAGGAAAATAGACTTTGATGTTCCTCGCGACACTTAAAGGAACTGACGTTTTTTCAAAAAGGTAAAAAAAAAAAATAGATATGAAAACCAAACGTGGTGTTATGTGAATTTTTAATAATGTACAGTTTTGGTGACTTTAAATTTGTTCCTTTATATTTTTAGGACCAAATCATCATTTTTAAGAGGAGGTATTGCAAGACTCTGTTGTATTACAGTGATGTAACACGTGTGCATCTGTAGAATGTACTGTGCGTTGAATAAAAACCACATCTAGTAGACTATTTGTCTGAATCCTTTCTGTGTTTCTCCGTGTCTCACTTTTCCCCTCTAATACATGTGTGCGTGTCTGCAATACAGCGGTGATCTGTTTGGGCCCAGTGCATGCTGGGAAAGGTTTCAGCCCCCCCTGACTAAACCGGATTAGGGAGATGGATACGCGGCTGACAGCGTGCACACCAATGATGACAGACGCACATTCAGTAAACGAGTCCTACTGGTTTATTAATGCATCGCTTGAATGTTTTTGCCCTTTTCTTCATGTAATGTTATAATTTATTCATAGATCTCCTTTAGACCTCTTACAGCAGCCATTTGAATGTTTATTAGAGTTGATGTGTTGAACATAAGGCACATTTGTTATATTGGTGTACACAAATAAAATAAAATAATGTCGAAGACATAAGAATAGACACCGAAATATTGTTTTAATGACCAAACAATCAATCCAGGAAAAACTATTCATCAATAAAGAAATAAGCCGTAGACTAATTACATCAAGTGGAAAAACAATGCCACTTATTGATATAAAAATATTTGCAAATACTTGAAAGGGACATGAGCAAACCACGAGAAGGTAAACCTGTTAAAAGGTCTCACACACACACACACACACACACACACACACACACACACACACTGGTTTTACACTCATTACCTCATTAAGACTCACTGTGTGTCACAAGCTGAGCTCACTGCAGTATGTCCCATTTAAGAATAAAAAGGCCTTTAAATAACGCTGAAGTGTTTTTTTGGCGGCGCTCTGCAGCTCCGTGGAGGGTTCTGTCCGGGGCACATGCTGCTGGGGGCGTCTTGCCATCACGCCCAGCTGCCCCACAGGGGCCGAGACTCGAGTACAACACATTCAAACACACTTGTACTCTGACATGTAAGGCATAATACAGCCAAATCCCCCCCAAAAAGTAGCTTCGATACCTAATATGTCGTCTTTGTGAGTTCTGCCTCATCTCTCCCTTCAAATCCCTGAGCTGGCACTTTACGTGCGAGTGGGTATATATTTGTGGGGTAAATTGTGTCTGCGTCAGCACTCTTGAGCAGCGAGGGTTGAAAACTCCCCACGCCAGCGGGTTCCAGTGCCCCCCGCCCCGACGCCACACAGTTGGGCTTAGCCCCACAAAAGGGGGGATAACGGTTTAACAGTTGCGCTGGAGAGGAGGGGGTAATCCACGGCATAATGGGGCACGCCGACAGCACCCTCCACAACCCCTGCACCAACCAGCCAGTTCATTCTGGAGTCCGACCCCGGAGGCCCGGGAGGGCCCAGGAGAGTCAGACCCGACTTCTCCGCAACGTAGTAAATATGATAAAAAATTAAAAACATTTAGTGACCCGAGTGACCCGATGCATCGCCGACACCGCAGAGGTGAATGTTCTCCTCTTTTGGCTGAACGGTGGAACTCGGCTTGTTGAGAAAACGTCTTCACGTCGATATCAAAGCGTGGAAATAAAAAGCCTTTCGCAGATGCTGCATCACAAACGGGCTCCATGGCAACAGCATCATGAAAGACTCTGACCCCACCCCCTCGCTCACTAATGCGTCCCTTTCTCCTATAATTGATATGAAAATCAGGCTGAGCAAAGGGTGCCAGGTGCTCCGATGCACGAGGCGACGGGCCGAGCTGCCGGCGGCTTCGGGTCGGGTGCACGCCGCACGCACGCCGCACGCACGCCGCACGCACGCCGCACGCACGCCGCACGCCGGCTCGTGTGGCACGCGTCGTGTTTCTAAAGCATAAGGCTGTTAGTTTCATCTGAATCTCAAGTTCCCTGAAAAGTTGCATGCTAACACGCTCAAACTGTGACAATGCTAACATGCTAAGGCTAATTAGCATTCTACACAAATCTTTGTCCGAGCTGATGTCATTGTAAGATGAATAACAAAGAATATTACTGGACTTTTAGGGCTCAGGGGGGATATTTTGGGTTGGATATGTTACATTATCTGTTAACTAAATACATTTACGTAAATCTCGCTGAGGGTTTTGACCCTCTTGTGTGTCGCGTGTCAACAATAACTGACACGCATGAAACGCTATGAATGCACCTTTTGCGGTAATGCCTGTAATTTGGGGTCGTTTTCTACCACGGTTATATCACTTTATGCCCTCGGAAGAGGCCACAATCACTCCAGTCGGAGGACGAGTGAAAGGCTCCTCGTGGTCTCCTGAAGACGCCTTAAATTGCTCGTTAGAATGTGTTGGAGGGAAAGTGGGCGGGGCCGGGCGTCACATGCGCGACCTTGGAAGGGCGTCGTTTCGAGGGCTTTCACTGGCAAGTGTTTGTGCACAGGAGGACTCAGGGCCTGAGGTGTGGGGGCGGTGGGGGGGGGGTGGGGGAGGGATGAGGGGGGGCTGCTCCCATCAAAGGATCCCTCAGATGCTACAAGTTGATGAGGGATGTCGCAGAGACCCTGAAGCCCTCAGAGCCTCACAGCTGCACACAGACGCGCAGACGGACGGACGGATAAACATCGAAATAAAAACATGACGTGGCGGGAGGTAACAATCTTACATTATGTGATATTTGTTTAAACCCTTCATAACTTGTTTATTGACAAATGGGCTCATTTTAACAAGCAGCATGTATTTGTGGCGGTTTCAGCGTTGCAAAAGCAGAACTTATTTACAGACCAGCTCAAGGACAACGAAAGCATTTATTTATTTAAATATTGTGTAACAATGTTGAAGCACAGTTTGCTGACACAGGGTTGACTTGTTTGTCTTTTGTATGTAATCATAGTATAAGTGCATTAAATGTTTCTAATACCATTGTGTCATCACTTCTCTCAGCGTTTGTTGTGTCAAGAAGTAGATTGATGAATAATTCAAAAATATCTTCGGTGATCTAAATATCGGCCACCTTCTTTTTCTGTTCATGTCGCCCTTTCTTCGTGGAGCTACGTAGTCGGCAGTTCTGGCGCGCCATCCTGGCCGAGCTGCTGGGCACCCTGGTCTTAGTGAGCGCCATCCTGGGGGCCTCTGTGCCCGGCCCTGGGGGGGCCTCCCCGGGGCCGTTGTACCCGGCGGTGGCGGTCGGAGTGTCGATCGTTGCGCTGGGACACTGTTTTGGAGAAATAAGTGGTGCACAGGTGAATATTTCCGTCTATTATTGATTATTGTTATTATCATATGCAGAACTGGACTGTAAGAACTGCCCAGAACTCTATTCAAATATACCACCAAAATAGAGCAGTGTCATCAACTTAATGTGAGGCCTTTAAGTATCCAAAATAAAACCAGTAATTGTTGCCCATGGGAGAGATATATTATCATATTAGATTGTTAATATAATACACGGCCTTTTATATTCATGTCTTCTCCTTAAATGTAAAATCTTGAATTGAACTGAAGCCGATAAGAACCCAGACTGTTTCCCCCAACTGACGGTTGCTGAGATTTTATGATGATCATTTTCCACTCCACATCCGCGCCGTTGCCGAGGTGTGATGTGTGTTTGCTTGTGCTCCGCTCAGGTGAACCCCGCTCTGACTCTGGCTCTGCTGGCCACGCGCCGGCTGGAGGTCCTCAGGGCCGTCGGCTATCTGGCCGCTCAGTGTTCGGGGGCCTTCTTAGCCTCCGGGGCCCTTTACCTCGCCCTGCCGCTCAAAACCACCGCGGACCACTTCGTCAGCAGGGTCAGCCGCCGTCCCTTTTTTAAAAAGAGAGGGAGAGAGAGAGACTTCACATCTTCTGACTCTTCCTCCGTCCTCGCGCAGGTTCCCCTGGAGGTGAACGCGGCCCAGGCAGTGGGCATCGAGGCCCTGTGCACCTTCCAGATGGTCTTCACCGTGTTCTCGTCGGAGGAAATGCGACGGAGGGAAAGCCCAGAACCGGGACACCTGGCCATTGGCTTGGCACACACTGCCGGAGTGCTGATAGGGGTACGAGGAGCTACGAGAAGCTCCACAGCTAGAAGACACAAGCTAACAGAACTGTATGAGTTAAGGGTCATGTATATTTGTGATGTTATTCTATCAGGCACGATTCTCAGGTGCCAGTATGAACCCTGCACGTTCTCTGGGTCCGGCCATCGTCACTGGATTCTGGGAAAACCACTGGGTGAGAAATCAGACTCATTTTCAGACAGACTTTACTTGTATTTTGTTCATCCTTTAATATACAAAGAACATTTTACTGCATGACTTTATTATAACATGAAATACTAGCGATTTAAATGGTATCGTCTACACACCATAACAAAGGCTTAGTGTGTGAGCCTTTGTTATTGTGTACTGTTCTATACTTACAAAGAGCATTTTTATAGCATACTACACTTTGCCTTTGTTTAATAACGTTTGTATGACATTTCTACGTCATACTATACTATAACGTTCTGAGCATTATTTTATTACGTACTATACAATGTTTTTTTTGCAACATCTTTATTGTATAGTTTAGTAGTGTCTCTTAAAGACATAGATCACCTCTTTTATGGCAAACTATACTATGCAGTACTTCATAGAATTTTATGTTTCCCTAATTAAATTTGCATGACTTACTATAAATTATTTTTTTACATTGTTGTGACTTATTCATGTTATGCAATGTATTTTTTTTGCATCCTAAACTGTGCCATTCTTTGTGGCATTTTCAGAACATTCTACACGCTACTAAATTATGACCTTTTTCATTACTCAACACTGTATAATATTCAGGTGACCCTGTAAGACACTTACTCGTCTTGACTCATCCAGATCATTTAAAATAAGTCCTCTTGTCTCATGGACCTCTCCCTCTTCTTCGACCCTGCAGGTGTACTGGATCGGACCGGTGATGGGCGCCATCCTCGGTGGGGTGTCCCACGAGTTCCTGTTCGCTCGTAGCGCCTCTCGCCAGAAGCTGGTGGCGTGTCTCACCTGCAAGGATATCGAGATTGTGGAGACGGCCAGCATGACGGGATCGTCTCTGTCCACGGTGACGCAGAACGCCAGGGCCAAGCAGGCCAACAAACAGGAGAACAACTGAGCAAGAGGCGACCCAGAGAAGCACACGAGCGTCCCGCAAAATGAATTAACCGCCATGGGACACAACAAACGCAGAACCCCAGAGCCCCCAACGCGTATCGAGCTCGGCGATATTTCTTATGCTTCAGAATTCAACTAATCGTTAGTCGTATCTTAAAGCTACACATTCTCAGTTTGGGATTTTGATCATTTTGAAACATATGGCAGCAACATAATTGCATGAAGCCTCCTGTCTGCCTGCAGTCCTCAATGTGTATTTTCTTCTCAAGAGACCACAATAAACTCACACGTTGGTCCCGTATCAACGAACCCATTAACGAGGGGAAGGTTACTGTGATGAGCGTGTATTTCTCTCCCATTTCAGTGAGTTGTTCCTCCAATGACACTCGAGAGGCTCCTAAAACCGGCGAAAATAGAATATTTCCCCGTTGCTTTTTGTTCCACATGTGAACAGAAAGCTTCATTCGTAACAAAGGAGATGAATGTTGCGTTCGAGGTCCCATTTGGCGGCCATTAGTGTAAGAAAGGGCTCAGGCAATATTGTGAGATTCAATGTCGTCACTTTCAAATTAATTTGCACATGATTATAATGTATTATGGATTTCATTGAAAAACCCCTCACGTTGGCCTTTTTTCAGTTTCATCCCACGTCTGTGGACGCTTTGAAGTGCTAAAGAGGTTCTTGCACTGCATTGTGGGTTCAATGATGCTCTCGAACGTGCCTCACATGCCCGCCTCTCCTCTCGAGCCTCCCGTTCACAATCAGATGGAGCTTTTTACATCTGTAATGGCTCGACAGAAATAATACGTTCAACCACAATAAGCTTTGTTATATGAAACAGATACAGTGTGTATGTGTGTGTGTTAATGTGTGTGTTAATGTGTGTCGGATGAGCGAGAGACAAACATTTTATTATTAATGTGTGTGCGTTTTTAGTATCATTTCCATATTTAAAGGGTCAGTTGGCTCAATAACTTTACGCCGTATTTAACCACACTAAGAAAATGGGTTTCAAATGTTTTTTGACATATTCTTCTATACTTAATTACTCAATATGACAAAATCATTTTTTTTTGTATGAACTGCATCTTTAAAATGAATATTATAAAATGTATATTTATCCTATTTAACTCTTCACTATTTAGGAAAACATGCTGTATTATCTGGATTTGACCGCGAGTCTAAAATAAACCATGTTAGCAATTATTAAAGCAGTGTAACACACGCACACACACAACGTGCACAATGGCTGTAACGGCCACAGTGCCGCCAGCATTTCGCATTGTGTGTGTGTTCTTGTGTATAAAACGGCAAGCACAGCATTCCCCATTCACCCCCCCAGTGATGGCTCTCCTCTGGTCAGCGCGATGCCCCGCTGTTGCTTAGTAACCCCGCTGTGCCCCCAACACCTCTCACTTTACCCCAGCTACACACACACACACACACGCACGCACACACGCACACAAGTCGAAGCAGAAGACACTGATGTTCGGGGCAAAGTCAAGTCCAGCTCTTAGTGTTCGTACCCGCCGGCACTCTGCAGCGACTGACGCCATTTTGGCTCCAACTTGCAGGCCGCGCTCGCTGGGGTCGATTTTCTCACCAACAGCAACAAACAGAAGCGACGAATGTTTTCACTAATTCCAGCGGCGTGAACGAGAGAAAACGCTTAGCTAGCTGCGACTTGCACGTTGTAGTTTAATGTGTTTTTGTCTCGTCTCCGTCCACACGTCGCTTGGAGACAAAGGTTTCACGGGGTCAGGCCTTTCAGCGCACGGGTCAGCTCAGCGCTGTTAGCTTTGGGGCGACTTCCGTCCGGGGCCCCAACTGTATTATCTGCATGTGTGAATATGTCCATGTGCATGTGTGTGTGTGTGTGTGTGTGCGTGTGCACAAGCTTGTCTTTGTGCGTGCATGTTGGTGTTCGCTCTCCTTGTCCATCGGCATTTGTGTCACCCGATTATGACAGTTATGAAATGTCTGCATATGACATGCGTCCGCTCTTCACCTCAGCTGCCCCCCCCCCACACCCACCCTCCCTGTCCAAGTACAACATGCAGCCCCCCCCTGCAGACTCTAAAACCTTCTAACCCCCAAATGTCTTTCATGGATTACAACTCATTCTCGCTTTATCTGTTTATCTTCTCGGACACTCTTTTCTTTTGACCTTGTTCTGTTATAAAGGGGACGGGGGGGTGGGGGGGTTGACTGATGGGTTAAGTTTGTTTGATTTAGAATGACCAGCAATGCCCCCTCCCCTCCCCCCCCGCCCTTGGCCCTACAGGGGGATTATGGCGTCACCTGGGGCCCCTGGGGGGGTGTTATAAAGCCCCTGCCCGGCCCTCTCTCCTCCGTCAGAGAGGCTAAAAGGTCCCCCGGACGCTCCGTCGGTCCCCGTCTCCACTTTTCAGATCACATTTACGTCCACCTCCGCTTGACAACTCGTCCCACCTGAGACCTCCGCCCGCACTCCCACGTTCCCTCACACCTATGTCTTTGGGACAGGTGGACAGAGGCGGCAAGCGAGCGCAGCTGAGTTGACTCAACCAGCCCAGTTCAGGGCTCGGCAAAGGTCCGGTCCATTTTTTATTTTTTTTTTGTTATTTATCTGGTCTTCAAGGTAAAAACTGACCTTTTTCTAGACCCTGATTTTCTTTCTTTGAAGAATCTCCTTCCTCTGGTGGAGAGCCTCCAGTGAACAGTCACCATGTGGGAGTTCCGGTCCATGAATTTTTGGCGGGCGGTCTTCGCCGAGTTCTTCGGGACCATGTTCTTCATGTTTTTCGGCATGGGCGCCGCCCTGCGCTGGACCACCGGGCCTCATCACGTCCTCCACGTGGCCCTGTGCTTCGGCCTGGCCGCCGCCACTCTCATCCAGTCCATCGGCCACATCAGCGGCGGCCACATCAACCCCGCCGTCACCTTCGCTTACCTGGTCGGCTCGCAGATGTCTCTTTTCCGCGCCGTCTTCTACATAGTCGCCCAGTGCCTGGGCGCCGTGGCCGGGGCCGCTGTGCTGTACGGGGTCACGCCCGGCAACATGAGGGGCAACATGGCGATGAACACGGTAAGGGCACGGGTGTTTGACAAAACGAGTTCAGCGATGTTGCTCAGGTAGGTCGATTTCATCCGCGGGATACGTGGCTATTCTTTCTTTCATGGATTCAGGTTCAGTTCGGTAAAGTAACCTGTGTGAGATTCCTCACAAACATTCTTTCATCCACCTGTGTACCTGCAGCTGCAGCCGGGCATCAGTCTGGGAATGGGCACCACCGTCGAGGTTTTCCTCACCATGCAGCTGGTGGTGTGCATCTTCGCCGTGACCGACGAGAGGAGAAACGGACGCATGGGATCCGCCGCCCTGTCCATCGGCTTCTCCGTCACCATCGGACACCTCATGGGGGTGAGGCGCAGGAGACACACTGAAATCCAATAACAATGACATAAAACACCCCAAAAAATACAGAATGTAGTAACGAGTGTCTTGTGTGTTAGATGTACTACACCGGCGCTGGGATGAACCCCGCCAGGTCCTTCGCCCCGGCTTTGCTCTTCAGGAACTTCCTCAACCACTGGGTGAGACCCGCGGGCCGAGAGAAGGTTACAAATGAACCCAGCGCTGTTGTTGACTGATGTCTGCCGCTTGCAGGTGTACTGGGTCGGGCCCATGATAGGCGGCGCGATGGGGGCCCTGCTGTACGATTTCATGCTCTTCCCGCGCATGAGGGGTCTGTCCGAGCGCCTGGCCGCGCTGAAGGGAAGCCGCCCCCCGGAGAACGAGGCCCAGCAGGACGGCCGCGGGGAGCCCATCGAGCTCAAGACGCAAGCCCTATAAGCCCGCCCCCTTTCTCCGAGGGATGAGGGACAAGGCCCTGTGCTACGCCAACACCGCCCGCCCCCCCCCTTCTACCCCACCCCGCCCACGCCTTCACACGACATCGCAAAACATACTAACCCACAAACGCTCACGTCGAGACTAAAACATGATGAGGTCGCCGCTGCCGACACGCAAACGAACAGGTTCAAAACTTCGACCTCAACACACACATGACTCCTCCACGACCCCCCACCCCACTCCTAGTCCTGACCTAAGTGACTGTGGTTTCTGTGAGTACCCCTGATACACTTGCGATGTAATTCAGCTCCCTGCTGTTGGAACGTTAA